AATGACTTTCGGTGGGCGGGGATTTTGCGAGGGTCCTGCCATCTGTAATTGCCCCTCGACTCCCGATGCACTCGAAGAGGTCCTCTGTGTCTGTATTTGCAGTAAGCGTTTAGCAAATATAACAAACAACCAGCGCATATAGATACTCAGCGTGTGTGTGGGTGTGTGTATATGTGTGTGTTTGTGTGTGAGTGAGTGGGGCATGCAAATATAGACCAACACAATTGCTTAGATTAGTGTCCACAGCCATGAAGCTGTTGTTGTTGCTGCTCAAGTTGCCAATAATTCGCCGTGAGTGTGTATGTTTTGCTTGGCCTGTGGGATTAGCCAAAAGTCTGAGACAGGTGTAATTTGGAATGGGGCTGATTCGCATCGATTTGGCAAAAGCAACCAGCAGGCGGCCACTTAGATTTCAAATCCAATTTCGCAGACCGAAAGTCTCAAAACAACCTCATGCCTCATGTTTAATTCAACAGAAGGAGCGCTTTGAACAGTTTCCCCCGAAACCAAACATATCAAAATTTCATGTGTATACAACACTCTCGCTCTTGATTCCTATTCATTATGAATTAAAACCGAGAGGCAAATTCACGGAGTCATTTATGTGTTCAATTAATCATTCTCATTGACTCCCAGCTCTCAGCGTTTTTTCTACATTATTTCCCTGTTTATTTTTTTCAATTGTTTGCCTGCCAATTAGTGATGGAAAAAATAAAAATTGCGGAGGCACTGGAAATTGTTTTCAGACATGAAAGATTAATTGCCAATTACCAGTTTCTATGTTCAATAAGCTTAATGAGTAATTAACTTTTTTCTTTTTTTTCTTCTTAACAGGAATTAGGTTACGGCTTTTTCATAACATGAGCATTTAATTACATACATTTTTATAAGACTTACTATATAATATTCCACATTTGTATTCAACTATGTTACTCTTCAAATTTAAATCAAATGTTCGCAACTGTTTCAAAAGTTGCCCAAGTTCAAGTGATGACTCTAAAACTGCCATGATGTCAATCAAAATTCTGATGGGCCACATGTTGCCTGGCGAAACTGTGGAGAGCAGCTAACATTTCTGTAAAATGTTAAAGGAGAAATTTTTCAAGTGGGGAAAATTTCTGTTGGCTTGCAGAAGGGGAACTTTAACTTTCGAAAATCTGTATTTGTGGGTCAAATGAAAACCCTACAATCCACTTGGCATCCATTTGGATCGACTGTTAAACACACATTCTCTCCCCACAAATGTTTCTCTGCGGTGACCTTTTTAATTTCGAGACAAACTTATTACAACTTGAGTGTACAGTAGTAAGGGGAAGATTTTTTGGTAAAAGATTATGTTTTCCCTTTGATTCAAGGCATTTATTGAGCTCTAATTTTGGATAAGAGCCTAATTCTTGGAAAATTGAAATCCAAAGTCAGTAGAGGGAAAAATGTTTCCGGTTTCTTATAAATTTAGGTTAAGTTTTTAAAGTGCTTTTAAAGCCCCACAAGGAAGATCAATAAATTTCAAATTATCCGACTCCGAAACAAGGTGCACAAAATCATTTTACCCATGAAATTTATTGGTTTTGGGTCTGTTCTTTTCCTCGAATATTTGTCACACACTCACGCCCCAACGTCCCAAAAGAGGGCAAAAAAAAGTGTTTTATAAACCTTCAATTGCTGTCAATTTATTGAAAACATGTCGCCGCAACTTCCTCTTCGCTCAAAACCTTTAGGCGGCCAACAAGAAATAAAGGAATCGGGTTTTTGGGAGTGGGACAGGAAAAAAACAGGAGGCTATGACCGAAATTTGTTTGCCAGCCTTGGGCAGAAAATATGACGAAGACGATTTTGGCCTGCCTTTATACTTTTATATTTTTCCGCTCTCGCTTCTGTGCTGTTGTCTTGTTGTTGTTTTTTGTTTGAGAAATGTGAACAATTTACAATAGAAATTGCTGTGTGTGCATTTGGCTGACTTGTCGTATACGCAATCAACGCGCGATTGCTAAAAGCATCGAGAGCAACAACGCAGACAGCAAAGTCTTTTGCTGCCAGGTGATATGGAGCTACGCAGACGAGCCTCTATAAAAATATGCAAATTTGCAAATTTTTAAACGAATAATGAAATGTAATATATAAAATATACATTAATAAAATAAAACGACTTCATGAATAAATAGAAACCCATAACAATAGGATTTTATAAAATTTATTCATTAAAATAAAAATCTTACAAAAATTATGTTCCCCTCCTTTGCACCTAAATTTATTTAATTGAAAAATATGTAATAAAATATTTTAATTACTTCCCATATTGATTGACGTATACCCTCTTTCATAGGGCATATGAAAAAAAGCAAAGCAAATGTTATATTTTACATTTCAATTGTTTTTTATGATTGCGCCCAAAGTGCACACGTAACGCGCTTGACAATTCTCGATGGTTGTCTCCCCGGTTGTCTCCTCGGTTTCTCCTGTATTTATTTTTGTTTTTGTTGTTGTTGTCAGCCGGTTGTCAATTTGGCTGGCGTGCGTGTAAATTGCACAGCAGCTGCTCGATTGACAATCCCCGTGCGTGTATTGGTGGCCGTCGGTTGTGTGCGTGTTATCAGCGCTCTCCTTGATTTTATGGGGCATTGCGCCGAAATTGAAAGTGAAAAATGCCTTTCAGGTGCTTAAGTGATGAAGTGCCAATTGCCTTTGCCCTCATCCCTGATTGCGCGCTTGAGTATTTTCGCCAGTTTTCGTATTGATTTCCTGTAAATTATTATTTTTTTCCCATTTCCTGTTTGTTTCGATGGCAAAAATTTGCGTGTATGCTACCCAAAAAAGTAGGCAACAAAATTTTATGGGTTCTAGCACATGTGAGTTAAGCATGGAATGCATGCTAATTTTACCTTAGTAATTGGATGTGGACTTGGATTGGTATTCCTCAGGAAGTTTTTGGGTGCATGTATGTTAAATATATAATAATAATAGAATTCGGAATAGCAAACCATCATAGAAACCTGTAGGTAATGGTTAAAGTATTTATTCTAAATATAAACATATTAAATGTGAATCTATATAAAAAACTCCCAAGATACTTTTTTCCGAGAAATTTGTCTGACAATTTTGCCAGCACCTTCATCACCAGCATATCTCACTTATGGTCCTCAAATCAAGTGGCATAAAAATGTAAATTAAACTCCAAAGGTTGAGCAGCTGAAAAGAGCAGTGGAATTATAGACATTATCCAGCCGGCAATCATAAGATATTGCAACAAGAGAGCAGCGGGCCAACTCCCTAATGTACAGTTACGTCTTCGGAGCCAACTACTAAATTAGGAAACTGGGCCATAAAGCAGCGGCCCACGAAAGCTGAAGAAGCTTGAAAGAACTTTGTGGAAAACAGGGAGGAAATGTAGCAAGAGCCGAGCTAAAAGCAGTGGCAACAAACAATTTTACAACTTTAGGCTCGCGCTTACATAAAAATAAATTTCTTATTTACATAAAGAAACTTTTAGGTTGCCAACCAACAAACAACAAAATAAAAAAAAGCAACTGAAATCAAAATAAAAACCGCAAGAAAAAATATCCCATCCCAACGCTGAGGTGGCAACAAACATTAAGAGCAGCAACATTTGCATATTTCGTATATTTGGCTTTTGCCTTAATTTGTTTGCACATATAAGCACACTCCCGCACACACACAAAAATACACACAGACGCACACACAATCTCAACAAAGTGACTTTGCATGTTTAACAGCTCAGCAGATAAGGATCTAGCAGAATCTCCGCTGAGTCGCAACTCAGATTAAACAATAAGCTAAGGCAAATATTTGAAAATGATTAAATTTGTATTCAATTATTTTATTATCCGAAAAGGACTCTCGAGAGCATAGAGAAGAAAACGAAATGGTTGAAAAAGAAGTCAAAAATAATGAATGGTTAAATTAATAACGAGTATCAAGGTAATATTATTTTAATATGGAAATATATGTAGCTTTGATATGGAAATACCTTTTGATATGGTAATATCATGCTTTTACTTTAGTAATATCATTTAATGTAAAAATTTGGTTTTAATAAGTCCTTTTAAAAAAAACAATTAAGTGAATAACAAAAAATGGTTTGGGAAAATACTTTTAAATTGAATTTTATCATCGTTAGTTTTCAGCACCATAATTCACTAGACGAGATATAACTTTTCTGTAAATAAATACGAAAACAAAAATATACGAAATTTATTGAGAGTAAAGTGGAGTGGAGATCGGGACGATTTGTTGTTGGTAACGAAGCATTAGCGCTAACGATGCATTGCGATGTCTGTGTGTGTGTGTGTATGTGGGCGCCCTTTGCGGCTGTGTGGGTGAGTATCTGTGTGAGCCGTCTGTATCCGAGTGGGCCGTTTGCTGATGCCTATTCCCAGTGCAGCATTTGGCCCAGTGCTGGTTGGTTGATTTGCTTACGCTGCCAGACGCAGACAAAAGTATATTTAGACAGCAGCGGGTGAGGGGCCCTTTTTTCACAGTCATTTGGGCACATAACAATCTTTCTTTCTTTTTTTTGCAGGGTCTCTTCTCTTCTCTCGTAGTGCCCATAAATATTCTGGCATTGTTTTGCTTTATTATTTTTATTGTTATTGTTTCCCCCACCCAACCAACCGAACAGCAAAACAGCCAAAGAGCCAACCAGGCAACAGTGTTTGGCTCTTCACAATTTATGTTGATTATTTTTATGGCGCGGTCGCTTGGTGGCCAGTCCGTCGTATCAAAAACAGGAAACTAAAGCCCGGCAATATGTCAATATATATGGCATAGTCTGGCCGCTGTTTGGTTTGTGTTTAACGTTTAACATGACAAATGGCCACGCCCCTGGCTTAACGCTTGTGTTGTCAATGAATGGCAATTTATACCCATGCACAGTTAAAAGGCCCAAACAAAGGAGCCCATGATAAAAACACGGCTGAAAAAGCTATGCAAAATGTTTAGAAATATCCCAACATTTGTTGGGGTTGAGATAAACAAATGTGGACTTTTGAATAAAATCTAAATAATTCTTGAATTTTATTTGTAAATAATTGATTTATAAATTGCTTTGTACGTTCAACGATAAAATTTTGTACAGACGTTTCTAATATTAGTTAAATAGATACTTAGCTCCAAAGCAGACAATCAACTATTAAATCAGCTTCCATTTACGAGTATGTTGCGTGAGTTTGGCCTCTATACTATTTATAGATATATAGAAGGAAGGCCCGCGATTCCAACGAAATGACACATTAACAGGCATCCGCACACAACTTTGAGGTTAAGCCAGAGTTCCAAGGATCAGGGAATGTGGGAACTGGGAACTGGGAACAGGGAATGTGGCATGATGGCATCATGGTTGGCTGCATACCGAGTTCTGTCTGAGCCAGGACTTTGCAAGTGGCTTAGCCACCCACCAACCTACCATCCGACCAACTCACCGACCCACCGACCCATATTCCCGAACCCTTCGGAGACCTCAGAACTCGTTGGTTCCTTGGCCTCGATGCTCGATTCTTTGTGTTTTGTGCTCGGATTTTGACTCATGCTATTTTAGTAGCTGGCTATTAATATTTTACTTCTTCCTGCACGTTTTGTGTCCTCGATGTTTGTTTGCTTGTTTGTTTGCCTGGCTGACGCCCTTTTTTTTGGATTTGTTGTCATCGTTGTCGTCGTCTTCGCTGCCATTAATACGCTTAACATGGGTAACATGATAAGCTAACAAGTGTGTTTGTCTAGGTTTTGACTTGGTTTTGATGTGGTTCGCCCTCACCGCTCGCTGATGCCTCGCACCCACTTAAAAAGATTACGGCCTTGACTTGGTTTCTTCTCGGGCGGTTTTGTTAAGATTACCTTGATTTAGTTCCCCATCCTGTGGCAGCATATGTGTGCACAAGGGATCTGGAAAATAAAAACCAATTTCAGAGCGGAACACAACACACAAGGAGTTTATCAACTTATTAAGAATACTGCGTAAGTTGCTCAAAGTTTGCTTTTAATAATTAAAATTAATTAGAATCATGTTACATCAAAGTAATTCATTTCAAGGTTAGGCTTATTCTATTACAAAATTCTCTTTTTCGAATTGTTGTTGAACAATCTAAACTTAATTTAATTTAATTTATTTGTTGTTTTCTGCGGTATTTAACAACGACAGTGGCCGAAATTAATTGCAGTTCATTATAACCATTACAAATCCAGCAACCGCACATGGAAAATCAATTAAAAGCAGCGTAAGATAACAAAACATTTGCACGGCCACCGCAAATCGTTGCCGCAGAAATATAACACAAAAACATTTGAAAATTGAGCCACCAAACACCGAAATCGCGCCCGACAAACCAATGTGGGAATCCAACGCGGATCGTGTCAATATTGGGCCAGTTTTGTGGGCCATCAAGTGGTTCGAATGGGGAACACTTTGGTTGTTAAATGTTCAAAATTAACAAATCGTGTTTGGCTGAAAATACCACTTCATTTATTTATAAACTTTTACCATTTACCTTTTATTTTTAAGACAAGCCTTCCACTTTTGGTTAGTAAAATGTAGAAATGGATTCTAATTTCAACAATAAAATAAAACTTTTCCAGTGTCACTTCCACAAGCAGCATTTGCACTTGTTTGACTTTCGGGTAATATACACATTATAAATATATACAGGAACTTTCGAATAATCCGAGTGAATGCAGGTAAACTGGTTCCAAGTTGAGATACAGATTATCCCCAGACGAAGACACATGGCAAACAAGCAGAGAAAACACACAGCAGCTGAATTGAACAAAAAGCGCAAACAAAGAGCGGGACAAATTTGCATTTGATGCGCGTATTCCGCACCCACAAAAACCACCCACAGACGCAGGATGCAAGGACCTTGGCAGGGCGGAAAAACCAAATAAAATCCCTCAACAATATACATAAAATATCGACTGCAGCTTTCCGACTCCACTTGCATCTGGAGAGCATAAAAATTGCATTCAGCAAAAACTGTAACTGAAAACAACGAAAGTGTTTTCCAACGTTGGAAAGTCAGAGGGGAATTAAAAATGTATTTTTATAGAAAATAACAAAAATGATTTAGAACAAGTGTTATGAGGGGAAAAATGGAAATGTTTTTTAAATATTTATTTTCCTACCCCCTTTGGGTATCAGGATTTAATAAATGCGTTTTCAAAAGTTAAAATGCAAAAAGGAAACAAGCTGAAATATTTTTTGTATTTAATCTTTTCATACTAACAAATACAAAGATTCTGAATAAATGTAAAACGTATTGTTGGTAAGATTTATATGAAAATATAGGGAAAAGAAACTGTTTGTTTAACACCACTCTACAACCAAAGATCAGATGGATGCTTTCGAATTAAACTCACCCCGTGGAAACGCACGCCAAACATTCAGCTCATGATGGGGAATGCGAATGATTTCAGCATCTGAGGCTGATCCGAGTGGGTCGGCATTCGTCAGCAGATGCAAGGACACCTGAGACTGACACACTTTCCCTTTAAGCCAGTTGTAAAAGCGAGAAATTCACGGTATTAAGAGCCGTAATCCAACGCTTCCTCCTCCATTCGCAGCGATCCAGCAGCCATAACCACCAACCCAACAGTCCACTTGTGCATCGGAGCGTTTTGCCAGCGACTTAACAACATTTTGCATTCTGCCCACTGTCATCAGCCGTTGTTGCCTCTTCTTGTCCCCTCTGAATTCTCCCAACCTACACCCGAACCACCCCCCCTGAATTTTGCCACCCACCTTTCCCCAATTTCCCCGCTACAACTACCACTGCAACGGCTGTCGTTGTTTCCGTTGCCATCGCCGGGGAGGAACATTTTGCGTAATCTTGTTAGATAATTACCGTGTAGGGACCGTGTGGTTTCCCCATCCGTGTGAGCCTTACTCCCTAATGCTCCCTTCTGCGTATGTATGTGTGTGTGTGCGATTGGAGTGGGGGGAAGGGGGTTGGACCAGGTCGGTAGGCCATTTCAATTGCCCAGCATGCTCGGCTGCCAATTGGTTTCAGATACTCGGCTACCGACCCAGTTTTTGGTCCCAACTTTGAATATAACTGATGTGGGGAAAAAGTTTGAATGGAAGATCCTGGATTTACTTGGAAATCCAACTACATATTTAGAGCGGAAATTTAATTAAATTCGGACTGGAGCAACTGCAAAGCCTGTACTCAGACAAGTCAGTCCTATAGTTTCCCTTAACAATAAAAAATGTTATTTATATAATCTATTAACCTTATTTACCGACCTAAAAAAATCAAGTTTACTTTTTACAGTTAACACATTTATATTCAATAGGAATAAATAAATTAAAGTTTGTTTGCATTCTAATGGTTGGTTAACAGTGAAAATTAAATAAGCGTCTGTAAAAAAAATTATAAACTCTCTGGCAAACAAACCGAAATTCAGCAAATTATTTTTAAAAATGAAAATATCGATTTGTTATGTGAACTGCCGGAAATGAATTTCCAGCCGGACATCCTTGAACAAAACAATTCGCTATCAGTGCAAAGCTCTTACACTCGTTTAATAAGTATTATACAACAAAGCAACAAATTTCGGTTGCTTTTAAGTTTCAATTTGAATTTCGAAATCACTAAAACCAATTATGCGGCAGTGCAAAAGCCAATAATCACCAATTTAACGCAACAATACAACTAGCAACTAATTTATTTATTAAGCCAAATTATATTTGGGCAAAAAAACTTCATCGAACGCTTTCAATGGCAAAGTGCAAAATTGGAACAAATAAAATGTATTTTATTTATGCGCAATAAGCAAAAGAAATATGAGTAGCAGACTGGGAAATTGTCGACTTAATGATTCAATTGCATTTATGCTCGATCAATTGGAAAACAATTATCACAATTATGAGGAAAAAATTAAATGGGAAAATAAGTATTCAGGCGAGGGTCACGCACGTAATTTGTTTACTGTTTTTTCTCACGAAAATGATTTTCTGTTTGCCTTTGGCTCACTTTCCACTTTCACTTCCCTGCCTGGCAATTTACATAATACAATTTGCAATTATCTTTAATGCGCTTAAGTTGGGCTTTTAAATGGTTAACTTATGCGTTCCAATTGATTTTTAAGTTATTTATATTTTTACGAACTATTGTGCAGCTAACTGAAATAAGAAAAAGGCTATTACATTTTCAAACAAAGTGTTAAATATAATTAATTTAAGCTCACCTTTCCGAATATTTATTTATTTATTTTATGCATCCCAAGATGAGGCTTCAACTATAAAAATTAAGCAAGCAGCACCAAAATATAAATAAAAGCAAAGAAAATAAAAAACTATCATTTTATTTTGATGAATTTTGAAGCATTGCCAACTATGATAAATGTTTTCAGATATCCGATTATGCAGATAATCCTATTTCTGGTTGGTTATTTTGTTTAGTTAATTAATTTCAACAAAATATTTCTAGTTTAAAAAGTTTTTAAAGCATTCCTGAAGAGCACTGCGCAGGGTTTATTTTGTTTCCGATTCCAGCTAGTCAGATGAACTTCTTATTTGCTTACATTTACAATTTTAATAGTTTTTCAATTTTTCATTGAGTTTGTATTTTTTCCCCTCGCTTTTCCGCACCTCTCCCCTCAGTCGAACTTTTTGATGAACAACAAGCAGGAAGCGCCGGCAGGGAGATGGATGCCGCCAGCCGGGCCGCATAAATATTTTAGATTTTCCACGCCAGACTTTGTTGCTGTCACTGGGAAATGGTGGTGGCATGGTCGTGGGTGCAGAGGGGGGGTGCCAGCTATGAGGGGGGAGGGGTGAGGAAAAGAGTTTCTGCAGTGGCAGCCGCACTTTTGCAAGGCCTATTCTGCCAACTGCCAACTCTGGATTGTTAGCCGCTCTGGCCGTGTCGTTTCTGCCTAGTTGGCCAAACTTGGCAGCCGGCAACTGCAATGTTGACGCTGCTGTTGCAACAGGACTGCGGTGGCCGGAATGAGGATCCTGGCTGGATGAGGGGTCCTGCAAAAAATACACAGGCTGCGGGCTGCTGCACAGAGAAAAACACGCTAATAAATAAAAGTATTCAGTTATTTTTCTGCCAATTGCAGTTTGGTGCTGTAGCCTCGGGTCTAATATTCCATTTCATTTCGATGCAAATCCATTTTATATGGGGTTTTGTTAAGAAAATATAAAACCAAAACAGGAACCGTTTAAATATTGTTCGCTCAACACCAATCATTTAATAAACAAATTTACCTTGAAAGATTATTTGTTTATATTAGCTTTAAATAATATTCTATTTTAAATTTGTCAAAATCAATACCATATTTTCCACAGTGTTCTTCTGTATCCTCAACTTCTTTATAAATTGTTGCTGCTTCGGGTCTTTTCTGCTACATGATTGGAGGTCTTTGGTATTAATTTGTTGCCTGCACCAAAAGTGCTTAATAAATATTTTAATTGAGAAGAAGCACAGCTCGTTCGGGTCAGGATGCAGGATTCAGGATGCAGGATTCAGGAGCCTCTGTGCACGGATCAAATTCAAGTGGCACGCAGGTCTAAGGGTCTTGAGGTTAACGCAGATTGAGAGGCAATATGTGCAGACTAATGACACATCACGTACGTGCTTTGATGGATAAATAATGTGATGGGGAAAACAAAGTCGAGAGGGCAGTTGAAAAGCACAAAATATTATGACAGGGTGGGAAAAAGTTTATGGAAATATTCATTAGCCTTGATCAAGTTTGATTAAATTGAATTTTATATTATTATAAATTCTTAATGAAGCAATATCTTAGCTAAGCTAGATTTATTAAACATAAAAATTACACTTTATCACTTAATCCGACTTTAATCAAGAAACTTCAACACTTTATGCATATTAAAAAATGCTATTTTAATTAATCAAATTTCTCAGATGTTTTTTTTAGCCAAACGATTAAATCTGAGACTAAAGTTTATTCCGAAAGTTGGCCAAAAACTGCAGAAGTTCAAGTTGAGTCGAAAATTGCATAAACTCATTTGTATAATGCACACGCTCTGCCATGCAATCCCCCCTCCCTTCTGCCCCTGCTCCACCGCTTTTCCCCGATTTTCCTCCGCCTTTTATGTGTGTGTGTGTATGTGTGTGTGAGTGTGTGGTGTCCCGCTCATCTGCATATGCAGCGATAGAAGCGTTGAAAACTATGACTCGAAAATGTGACCTGCTGGATGCGTAGTCGGAAAATGGTAAAATTGCGGGCGGGTGGCGTTCGTTTGGGGTTGAAAAAGGGGGTCGAAGGGGGCATGGCCTGGCCTTGGGCGACATTTAGCACTCGCCACGTAGCCCGGCCACGCCCACCCACTTGGCCGCCTCCCGAACTCCCCGAACTTAGCCAACGAACATGGCGGAGCTTAACTGTGACACATTTTACACATAATTTTCAACACCTAAATCCGCAAGTTAGTGCCAACCATCAGATTTTGCACACGTTAACGCAAACATAAAGCGTCGGATTTTGGATTTTCGACTCTGCAGAAGGAGAAAACGAGAACCTTTTAGGTACCCAGCTGGACCAACGTGTTTTGTGCATTTTAAAGCGACCAACTCATCCCGGCCACGACTAAAAAATGGACCATGAAATGCACAACTTTTTGTGCATGCGAAAACAAAGGAGAAGCGAGTGAATATTCAGTGCAGATTGGCCAAAGCTGGAAAATTTCACGTCTTCTGGTCCGAAAGTTTGCGAACGGACAAGATGAACAGTTAAGAAAGTCAAAGGAGCTTATAAAAGGCCAAGAATATGAAAAAAGCAGGATAAGAGAATTTCAGAGGTTATTAAAGATAAATAAAGAAAAGAAATTCAAAGCAAACAAAATTGTATTAATCTTTTCTAAGAACATAAAGCACTTTGCAAAAGTTTATCCCGCATACAAACATACAAAAACCATTGCTCAACTGCACTGCCAACAAATGTGGAATAATGCTTAATAAATTTAGAAATTTGCATGTAACACATTATACATTTACGCAGAGGAGCAGCTCTTTTGATTTATCAACATGGGAACAGGACCCAGCAAATGTTGAACACATCTGGCTATATGATTTACATATCAAGCCGACCGTCAACTCGAGTGTTGTTTCTCTTGTTGTTCCCGAAGTTGTTGACCGTCCATCACGTGACGTGTACTGTTTGTTTTAAGCAAAAGTTTACATTACCGGGGAGCGGGGGAAAGGAGAAAGGAGAAAGCTGGCAGATGAGTCGGTTGGAGCCTCCTGCAACTTGAAGCGGAAATTAATAAAAACAAAAAATGTTTCTGGCCAGCTGGACACAATAACATAAAAAATACCAGGGAAAATTAATATGCAACTTTGTGATGTATGTTCTTTGTGGCATATGTTGCATGTTAATGCAAATGTATACATTTTAAACGGTGGCCTTTCCTTAAAAAACTAAAAGCTTATATCCTAAATAATCCAACCGTAAAATGAATATTTTTAATGCAACTTCCGAACATCTGAATTCAATTAGGCTAATCAAGTTCGGTTCGTGCTGCGGCATAAGTATTCACTAAAAAGAGTTTCGTATCGAAATATTTTCCCAATCAAGTGCAGCCCCCAGAAGACTGAAAAAAAAACGAAGAAGCCGAGCACTTTCGCCAGCAACAACAAACTGTTTGTATATATAAATAACTCGGAATACAACCTCCTTCTTTTACCTCCCCCCCTTTGCCCCATGACCTCAACCCGGTGACCTCGGACAAAATCAGCCCGGTTGGCCTGGGTTGGCACAAAGATAAAATGCCCCCAAGGAATCGGGCAACAGTTTGTAAAAGTTTTCAATAAGCTTCGGTATATCGAAGCAGTTTGTGGATGCGCAGCGGAAATGCATAAACATTTATAAGAATTTCCTTTGAAAACATGTTAAACATAATTTCCAGCCGGGCAAACGAATGAAAGAAGGCGCCAGGGGAAATGTGACAAGAGAAATCAATTGAAGTTACTTGTAAGTGAATTTCAAGTTGTCCCCGGCAAGTTTTCGTTATTTGCTTAATGAACAAATCCAAGGTTATCAGCTTCTGGGAAATACATAATTTAATTTTGAGATAAATATTTGCTTTGACGATGGGCGAAGAATATAAATTTAGAAATGAGACTGAAATAGAAAGAGGGAAAACATTTGAATTCGAATTTAAATTATAATTTCTAGTGCTATTTTTTTTCTTATATATATGTCTTATTATGCACTTATTTGATGAACTCATTCCACTTTATATTTTTTGTTTTATTAAAGTGTTTCATTATTTACCTATAGGATTTACTGAACACTCCCTAACCATTTAAAGTTAATTTGTTTGCATTTATTCAACCATCAAGTGGGCGGCATTCTCTCTAAGGGAAAAGAACAACAGAAACGAAGGCTCATCCCTGGAGGATCTACCCCGCCTAATGTCACCATAACTCAATGGGAACCTATTGAATCACAGCAAATTAACATGCATACATCTGGGCGCAGCGATGTGGTGGAGAGTCTCGTGCAGAGCAGCCCACGAGGAAACAAGGACACATGTCGCCCCATGGCGAAGCCCATGCCCATCCTGTGTGGATCAGAACAGGACTCTTGTGCCGTTTGGCATACGAAATAAGCGCAAACAAATTCGATAACAAATGGTTCGGAATCGACACAGCAACAATGCACGGGATATATATAATATATTTATAAAGAAGGAGACGGAACAAAAAAAGCGAAGCGAAGGACGCTGCTGAATTTAGGAACAAATGACATATTGTCAGGGGCAGAACAAAACAGGAGAGAGAGACAACATATGGTTAGCAGTCCGCTGTGACTTTCGGTTCGTGTTTGTTTTTGTTTAACGTAAATATAAAATTTATTATCCGGCGGAGCGCATAAATTAGCCAAACAAGAAATCAGAAGCAGACGCAAATTGAGACCAAAAGCCACTTCTCTTCTCCCCACTGAGCTCAACTTGATGATGATAACAAATGAAATCAAACGAGTGGAATGTAGGATATAGAATCACATAGTGGTTATGGTGGGGGAAGGCAGATACCATAGCTGGCATCATCAATTGCTGGGAGTTCACAATTTGAATTAATGAACTATCACATGCGGTTCTCAATTTACGAAGCGATAAAACAAACAAACTTATTTATTGATACTCTTGTATGTGTAAGTATTAAGTTTATAGTAAGTAGAATTTGAAACAAGTTTAAGACGCCAAATGTAATTATCATTTCCTTAGTAGATTCTGTTTAGTTTATTTTAGAATATTATTTATATACCTTAAAGATCTTCGTAATCCAAAATAGTTGTGTTGATATTCCCTGTGAGCCCCATCGCCTTGAATAAATATCAAATATCAGAGCCAAATGGGCCCTCGGGGCATTTCATTACATTACGTTCACACTTAACCATAAACAGGCTAATTAGTTGTTTTGCGCTCGACGCTCACAAGTGTTAATTTTCCCAAAACAAAGCACACACACTCACTCACATTCGGTTAATTAACACATTTTCGCAGTTTTCACAGTTTTCGCAGCTTTTGGCCGACATCTCTTCTCTGTTCTTAGCACCACTACCGCAAAAAGGAGCAAAGAGCATCCAAAACCTGCGGCCAAACGTGGCTTTCGATGTGTTCCGACCATAACTTTTGCGGCCCAAAGTCGCTGCCAAGGCTAAGGACCACCGTATATGCAAAGTGCCTACGAGAAAAAAAAGCTGGAAAATCCCTGCGAAAATCCATGGAAACATGACCAGCAAGCGGTGGTAACGAAAAGTTTTGGACAAACCGGGACGAAAACTTTCAAGATTCCCAACTGCAACACTTGCAGACTGCGTTGAAAGTGCACGCACACTCGTCTAATCCCGCACACAGATACCCAAAGCCCAAGTCCACACACACACACACACACACAAATGGACCATTGTGCACATCCTGCATATCCTGCCTGTTTACCAAATGAGTTTTGTGCTAGTTTGTTTAATGCCTTGGGCCGCAAAATTTATGATGACAGGCGGGGGGCAGTGAAGAAATGGAGTGAAGAGAAGGGAAGGGAGGGGAAGGGGAAGGGGATAAAGTCCTATCTATCCGGAGAGTTTCTTGGTGTAATGGACAGATAACTGTTGCCTAATTGTTCTGACATTCATATGAAGCGAGGGCGCAGTCATAAAAGTTTCATTCCATTTAATTCGTTCTCGATTCATGTGGTCTTATTTTATTTGCGCTCTGAGTTTCTGGGTTATTTTCGGTGGCTAAACGCATTTAAAGACTTTAATTACAAGTTGACCTTCGGCGTGTAAATAAAATGAGAAGATAAATAAAAAGTTATGGTTAGTATAAAGTGTTTGAAAATGAGAAAAGAAGTTTTTTTTATCATTATTTATTTGTATATCAATTTGTTCTTTATTTTTGTTTCGTGAATAACAATAACCACTGAAATTATAAAAGCCATGTTTTTTGCACAACGATAATTCGAGATAACAATTAAATTTGAATTGCCTCACTCATCATGTGTTGGCTTATGTTTATTAAGCTTTTGGAATGCGAAGGCCCTTGAATGAGTGCACCTGTTGCCCGGACAACGATGGTATCAAATTAAGTTGGTCAGAGGCAGAAGAATATTTCACCACATTCTGGGCATAAATTCCATTTCATTTAGCCCTTAATTCAATTTTATTTGCCACATTCTGCTCGTGCCCCATCAAATTACAGGGGGGTCACAATTATTGAATGCGGTACGTAAATTAACCCAGAAACGTTTTCGTGCATGAAATGCCAAAAATTTAACTAAAATTATGCACCTTTGTGCGTGCGATGGCGGCGGAAAAAACGAGACAAGCCACCGAAATGAGCGGCCTTTCGAATGGGATTTCCCGAATCCCGTGCTGGAATGCATAAAACGCTGATTGCAGCGAGGCTCGCCCACTGTTTTCACCCCCTTTTCCAGCCGAACGTGACTGGGTTTACACGCAAATAAATACAAAACTTGGCAAGAGCGCCAGCTAAAACAAGAAAAACACAAATCCCCAGCTAAGGAAAAAGTATGAAATGTGGCTGCCGAAACAAAAATGCTATTTATTTGCCAAGCCATGCAAAAATAAAAGAACAAAAAGGATATTTTTTTGAAAAAACTCGACTTTATCACGTGCCTGTAGTGCGACCGCCAGGTGGCGCTAGTCAGCGAGCGGCAAAACGGAACCGGAAACGCCGCTGACAGCAAAGCCTGTTTAAAAACGAAGGAAGACACAGCTGCCATCGCGTTATCTGCATTTTGTTGACTCTACTTCCCCTCTTAGCTCACTCCATCTCGACTGCGCATTATGCATGAAATATCCTCTATGTTTCGCTGCCTTTTCTGCTGCTCCAGAGCTCAAGGGCCAAGGTGAGATAAGTTGGGATTACCATTAAAGAAATAAAAGAAAATGTTTCACGATGCAACTGAACTGTACTCAAAAGGGTTATATATACAATAAAAAATAAACGAATTAAGATGTGTTTTTATTTAAAGCAAATGAAGCGTTATTAAGTAAAATCTGTGAAACCATTTCTTAAATTGCTACTTCTTCTGACTCATTGCACCCCCACAACAGTTTTGTTTTTCAAATAGTCATCAAATCACAGAATGCCCTCAAAGGAGCATCCGATAGAGTGAGTGGTCTTTCAAACTCTTTCAAGTGAAAGGCATAACCCGTTTGCTGGCATTCAATTGGTGACCCGAGTCATTAGATTCCATCGAAGGGGAGTAAAATTCAAAAACGAACCCGAATCTCTTGACGAAAGATTAAAGTCCCGGTGCAAAGTCAAAAGTCCGGCATTAGTGAAATCTGATTAATCACATTTGAAGGGCTTACGATTATGGCAGTTGTGGGTACCAGGAAATGGGCGGAAATCACATGCGACTGTCACATTAGCTTTATACTTTAATTAATTTCTAATCCCAGCTCATTGCAGTCTCGGCAATTAGATGCCGGTGCTTGTAGGCTGGCAAGGATTACAAGGCTACATCTACTTGCCCCTTACATTTGTCAAACACTGCCCAAGCCGAAGGATATCAATTTGTGCATGTGAGTGTGAAGTACGGACTCGTCCGCCCATCAAACACAAATTACACATTCGAAATTTAATCGGCAATGCGAATTTCGGGGGTCGGTTTGGGGCACATACCATAATTAAGCTGCAACTTTGTGGGGATTATCCAATGCGAGTTTCGAATAACCGAGCCACAAGCTTTTAACATTAAATACGATTAACTATTTGGGTATATTGGTAATCCAACATTGCGGTGGACTGAATAGTTTAGAGGTCTCATAAATGTGGTTTCGGCTTGCAAATTTGAAAAAATAAATCTGCCGGAAAATTGCATTTTATTTCTTGTATGGCTTTGTTCTATTGAACAAATATAATAGAATAGAATAGAATTTGATCCAAACATGTTAGTTTAACTATCTTCCCGCAAGCATAATTCCTTTATTCAAGCCAAACAAAATGTCTTTCGAAGCATAATTAATTATTTATTGCGATTGGCCGACAGCACAACAAGTTAAGAACGCCGTAAAGCAAAACCTTAGAAATCTTTCCCAGATAAATATGCAAAATGTGTTAACAAATAGCCACGCCCACCGCATCGGGGGCACTTTGATTTGTGCGTGGGGCAAATTTATTTGCCGCAGTAGCTAGTTACCACGCCCCCAAAGACCTGACGCCCCCAAGAGCCGCCCTTTTGCCAAGGAAGGCACTTTACACTCAAATTGTGTTAATTTGCATATTGGAAACTTTTGCCTAATTGAACATAATGCCACTTAATTAAAGTTAAGACAAGTTTTTGACGGTAAAATGGTTTTTAGGCCCAAGGGGACGAAGATGTCTTGGCAACTAAAAGTATGGCCAACATTTATGGCAGTTTGTTGTTGAAATTTACGGCAATTAGTTTAATATGAGCAGATTATGAGGGACGCAGGAGGCAATAAAATCCCTTCGGCAGTGGCAAATTAATTTTTGGGGGGCATCCCCAAATAAACACAGACAGGCAGACATATGGAAATCAATTAGCACTTGGGACTCCTGGTTTTAAATGTTTAATGGCCCCTTTTGCTGTTTGTGTTTCGGCTGCCTAATTGTTGGTTGCTCAAATATTTATTGACAATTAGTGTAGGCTAAAAAGACAACACCTATTACTTTGTTTTTATTTGAATTCGTTTATTTAAAATTTTGAAAGTTTTCTGATTATATTTATTCAGCTTTTCTTTTATTACATTTTTGATTTTCATTTAATAATCTTCTACGATCAATGCGGTTCCAGCTAAAAGGATCTGTTCCGATGTGCCCGTTACAATATCAATATTTAGGTGGCAAATTAATTTGTCCCGACTGCTCCGAGAATATAGGGGCAATTTAGGATTTGATTCGTTTTTTTGTGTGGGATACAAAGAATTTTTTCCATATTTTGAAGAATTTGCAGACGCAAGAGTTTCTTTTTCCTTTATTTTGTAGCTGATGTAGAAGGGGTTTGACTTTTCCATTCCACTTTTTGCGCCATCAATCTAAAATTAAGAAAATATTTAAATTAATATAAACAGTAAATGATAAAAATTAAAATGAAACTAACTTAATTATCATAATTAGATAAGTTCTGAACCAGTTAACAAAAGCTTCTTTTAGCTGGCACGCACATCACCCACAGCTAGCCAATACACCATCCTTCGTATAGCAAGGAATCAAACCGTTTTTGTATCGATAGTTAGAAACAATTATCGACTTTGTTGCATCTCAAATGTGTTTCCCTCTAGTGACGGAATGTCAATGTAAAGCCAATTAGCTATTTTTCAGTCAAAGTTGGCTATTAAAAAGGCCAAAACACGAAACCATTTGAGTTGACGACAAGGCCGGCAAAATTTAATGACTCCAGACGGATTTTACGGACAGACGTTGAAATGTTGTTTTTTCATTTCAATACAAGCACTTGGCGTGTCGTAAATCTACAGAATTCAGATCTTTTTCTTGTCTCTTTAGTTCGCGGTTTTCAGTCGTTAAAGACAGCTCCCTCGAAAAAGAAGGACCGAGTCAATATATTTTAAGTGGTTATTAACCAACCTTGAGAATTTTCGGGTGCCTTTTAAGCTTTTAATTCTTGATTATTCTGAAAATAATCTGCTGACTTAAGCATATTTTATGCAAAATATTACAACGAGTCTGTAAAAAATCTAAAGAACTGAAAATATGTTAAAGTAATGCTTTCATATGAAATAAACTTTTTTTTTTACTATTTTTCCTTAGTCAGTTTTGGGTGGTATGAAGCCTGCAGTTCTTGATTATTTTTAAAACAATCTGCTATTTTAAGCTTCTTTTGCGTAAAATATTACAAAAGGTCTGTATAAAATCTAAAGAACAGAAAATATTTATTAGTAATATTTTTATATGAAATCTAGCTTTTTTTTCCCCCAATTTTCTTTAGTCAGTTTTGCCATAACTGACGACCGAGAGTGGGCAACACTGACCGTCAATCAAATAAAAACAAAAAAAGCGGCGTGAGAAAACTGAAAAGAACGGGCAGCCAGCGCAAAATCGCACCTAAATCTCGATGCATTGAACGGATACGGCGGACCGGAACCAGGAGGCACAGGATAACGGAAGCCGGCGCCATGGAAACGGCGAGAATGGAGACTGCAATGGAGACCCATTTTATGGCCAAAATGGGGAAGGTAAGACACAAAGACAAGAAGACGACGCACAGAAGCTAACGAGGAAGAGGAGGGGAGGGGAAGAAGAGGAAGAGAAGATGCAATCGGTGCCACAAAAGATGGGTAGATACGGATATATCTAGTAAGGATCTCCATTGTATAGCTCAATATCTATGGATCACTCTTTCTAAAATATCTGGCTGACAATCCGTCCCAACCCAAATAAATGACCGACTGACAAGTTGAATTGGATTATCTCATAAATCATCTACTATATGGGACTAAATCATGTTAGGCTACATCATTAAAGGTGCAATCGTATGCTTCCTATATACTGTAGACTGTAGCATATAGTGTGTCAATTTCAACTGACAACTGACAACTGACATTGAAATGGAAACTATGAACACAATGATTGCTATTGGAACTAAAGTACACCTCTCCCTTGACCAACAAATCAATGGGTTGATTTGGTTAATCCATAAGGTAATTGGTTCTTTGAGTAGCTTTTCTAAATGGTTTTTAAAATGTAATACACTCACCTTCAAAGGCGCCAGCTTGACTATTGTATCTGACGAATCTCCATCGGAATTTTGTGGCTCACAAGTTTGCAGTTCCAAATGTTCAGTTGAAACGGCCAACTTTCGTGATTGCTGCAACTTCAAGCAGGCCAAAAGGTTTTCGCAGTTGAAAACTTGCACGAGATTGATCTCCTCGCCAAATTCCAGAGACAGTTGCTCCTTAAAACGCAGTTCTGCAGCCTGGGCTCTTACTATAAGGGCTCTTAAGTAATCTACGGCACTGTTGCTGCCAGGACCACTCCATAGTTTCAACCAGTTGGCAGGAATCTGGGGACCAAGATGCATTACCATTATGTTATATTTTAACGAAATCTTCCTTTTAAATTCTAGCCTTAAAGCTTTATTCTTACCTGCTGTTCTGCCAGGGCTCTTAAAGTGCTTCCATCCACATCCTGTGAGTCCTTCAGCCAGGCATGCATTTGGGACAAAGTCTGGTGGACAGTGCCATATAAATCCGCACCCAATTTCAATTCAGCCAGCACAAATAACGCCCAAGGGGACTCCCCAGAGTTGTCTTTCATCTCCTTAACCGTTTGGACTATAGTACAGGATCCAGCTAACTTCCTCCACAAATTCAGCAATGGCTTAATTTGCTGTTCCAGCTGCTGACGATCAGTGAGCTGATCGCTTCCTCTAGACTCTCCCGCTGTTCCTGAATCCCCTGCGGTTCCTCTACCGTAATGCAAGCCCCTTAGTTCCTTGATAACTCGTTTAGCCTGTTCAATTTCACGTTGTTGCTGTGCCTGATGGGCCAATCCGTACATACTGGGCTCATCTATATCAGGAAACTTTTCCAGTGCTGCGTAATAGTCCTGGAGGTTACTACTCGTGGGTATCGATAGGGATAATCCAAGTGGAGACCAGCGGTTGCTCAAAACATCCGCAGAACAGAATTGATTGAGATAGGTATTTAATATTTCCAAGTCCCTTTGATTATTTACTCTTCCTCCGAAAGCCAGAGCTTCACTTAGACGTTGCAACAACAACCAATCGCATTTTCCAGAGTTCAGTTGCTGATCCATCCATTTCAGGATACCCAAAGCTGCTTTTAGGTCCGCTTCACCAAATTCGTAATATTTAGACCAACCTTGGGGAATAAATTGTCGTCTTTGCTGAAGGACAGCGGTTAGAATAAAGTACACTAGTCGCATCTTGAGACTCTTTGGTTGGTTTTTGAGGCTCTGATCCTGTTCAGCTGCAAAGTTTTGAAGCAAGCGCATCACAATTTGCTTGAGTCCTTTGGGCTGTTCGTACCGCACTTTCAGGCATTTAAAAACAGCGGATTCTGAAAAACCTTCGGTGGATTCGCACAGAAGCCACAAACGAAAGTCCTTGGACTTTTGTATCTCACTTAGTTCCCTTTCCATTTGACTGAGGAATTCCGGAACCAAATGGACATTCTTCACACACAACCAGTGACCATCGAGTGCAGCTTGTCTCATTTCGGAGAGAACTCTCTTCTCAGCGCCTTTTCCGATTGCCATTTCCCTGTATTTTTGCTTGGCCCACTTTTTCAATTCCGTGGTGGGATCGTTTTCCGCTTTACTGATCATCAAAATGGGTCGATCACAGCTGCTTTGCTGCAGCAACTGTTCCACCGAAGGTTGAGTTGAGGAATCTGGGGAAATTCCCAGCAAGTCGCTGCTCACCTTTCTCAGTTGATGGATCATCAGGTCGGGTCGGAAAATCTGAGCTATCAACACTCGTTGAAAACTGGAGCCCAAGGCAGCTGTAAGTGGAAATATATAAATAAATTTTTGGTAATTCGAAATAATGAAATACTTCTTGAACTTACGCAGCACATCATCTGCTTGAGCCTCGATGAATCCTCGCCAGATATAATCCTTCTCCAACTGAAGTTTGCTTCTGAGATCCGGAAACAATTGTAGCAACATGGCCAGCTTTAATTGAGCCTCCTTGGCCATGCAATCGGGCAGTTTTCCCAGTTGACTTAAGAGCATGCTGCCATCCGAACTGCCCATGAAATTGTTGACAAACAACTCCCATTCTTTGGAGTGCAATTTATCGGGATATGCCCGATGGCAAACCCAAAGGGACAAGGATAGTTGGCTTTCTCTGGATGTAGCTCGTGCTAAGTTCATGTAGACACTTCTTACCAGTAACTCATAGACTTTGGACTCGTCTCGTTGATTTTTCGAAAGTGCTCCCAAAAATAGTTCAATGTAAACTAAAGCAGATAACTCATAACCCTGAATGAGGCCTGCATAAAAGTCTGATGCCCTGGAGCAAAGTTTTCTTAGGGAGCCAAATTGGGATAGTAGAGTATCCCTGATTTGTCCACTTTGCTTCAGAGCCTCATCTATTTGGGCGCTGCTCTGCTTAACTTCATTTAAGCTGCTCAAAAGTTGCTCATTTCGCAGGATATCTCCTTCTGATTTAGAGAGTTGTTCCAGAAGTTTATCCTGCATTTCCATACGCTGTTTGAGCAGATCTCCCTCCTTTTGCAAAAGTTCTATCCTTTGCTGCTCCAACTCTGCATTCTTCAGAACAATTGCCTTTGACATTAGCTGATCGGCCAAACCAGCAGTTGTTATTGTAAATCGTAAAAGGTTTAATTGACTCCTTTGCTCTTCTGGCAAATCCAAGCGATGTGATTTACTTATCAAAACCAATTGGAAACTCTCGTGGAGATCCACCAACTTTGAGCCGATGGCTAGTTGTCGCTTGTTGAATCTCACATAAATGTGTCCCTGGAGGAGTTGGAGGATCGGAGGACGCAGCTGTTCGCAATCGGTGACCAGGAGGGTCTTGCCAAAACGAACTGCTAGTTCTAGTTGATAGGACAGCCTCTCGTTTCCATGGGTGGTCAACTCACAGGCTCTTCCGCTTCCTTTGAGATGAGCCATCAACCATTCGGCTGCAGTTTGTGTGGGATCCAACAGCAGGGGAATAGGACAGGCTCCATACGGCAGGGAAAGCATTTCCCTGAGCAAAGCTGCACTCTCGATAATTTGGGCATCTCTCGCTAAACCCTGACTTTCCCAAATAATCTGCTGTTGTTCGGTGAGCAGCGATCCACGAAGATCGAAGTTTGAGGGCAGGTGGAAGTCCTCCGACAAACGTTTGAGGGAAGAGCTTAAGGATTAAGGTAATGATGATATATAATAACTTGAATAAATAACATAACAACTCACCTCCTCTGTTCTAGACCCAATCCTGCATAGTAATTAACAGCCATGGCTATTAGTAGAGTCTTGCCATCCAACGTTTTGTGTGCCTTCTTCAATTCCGCCAACTGATCACTCCATGTGGCATACTCCGCACTTAGTTTTCCCACAAGAAGCTCTGCAGCCTGCAAAGTTCCACTGGCTTCCTGGAGTTTCAGTTCCAGAACTGCTGCCTCTTGGGTGTAAGTCTGCAGTTTGGCAGACAGTTGCTTGACCCTCTTATCCACGTCGTCCAATCCACTTGCCAACTCTTGCATTTCATCCTCGGCTGCATTGAGATTTTTCTGCAATTCATTCTGTTCCCTTTCGAGGGGCTTGATGCTCTGGATCACCCGGGAATACCGAACACTAGCCTGCACCCAAGCGGCCAAAGGAGCAGCTGCAGCCGAAGCACGCTTGGCGTTTTTGGATTCGTAGGAATCACCTTTGGCCAGGAGTAACCTCTCCACAGCTTCACAGTTTTCCGGACTAATGCGAGCTGGATCCAGGGAGCGGATATCCTCTTTTACTCCCCTCTTGGCCAGAAATGTTTTCATGCTGTTCCAGGAGGTATCTCGAATGCCCATTAATCGCAGAACGCCCTCCAAAATATCCCTCACTGCTTCTGGCGGAGCTCTCAACGATCTGATTTCGGACAGGGCCTCCGATTTTATTTGACCCACGGCATTGCTGGCCTCCGCCAAAATGGGCTCCACCTCGGCCAATTCCTGCTGGATTTCCTTTTGCCGGATTTTCAATTGTTCGCTGCTCTTTTGTGTCTGTTGTTTCAGCTCCAACATACTGGACTTTTGTTCATTAGCATTTCGCATTGTGGATGAAATCATTTCGAGGGCTTCGTTGGCCAGCTGCCTCTTTTCACCCAAAGCTTGTTCTTGAGCTGCTGCATTCGATTTTAGGGTGTCCACCAAAGCGTGAGCCGAGGCCAATTTATCCACTCCCATTTGCAGTTTGCCCAATCTCTGATCGATTTCATTGGCCGCATTGCTGTACATGTGGAAATAGCTGCGGATGAGTTGGTAATATCTTTGAGTTGGTTGGTCTGTCGGAAGTTCATCGGATATATCTGCAAAGTGACTGCAGGCGGGCACCTTGCCACGCCCACTTCCTCCTCCTCCTCCGACTGATTCATTGAGCAGTTCTATATACTGTTTGGGCAGAACCGCAAGAGTTTCCCTGGACTCTGCTCTAATGTAAAGCAAATCCATTTGGCGATGCAAAGCAGGGAAGTTGTTGAAGTAGTCCTGAACTTTGGAACTGCTGGGATCCAGGACAAGAATAATGTGAAGATTATCACGGGCACCTAAATGGGGAAAACATTATATACTAATCAGAAATTCATAAAACATTGCTACTTACGCTTCATGAAGTATGTTCCCAGTGATTCCTGGTATCCTTCTAGTTGTGCCGCTTGTTTTAAAGTACTTGCTACCGTTTCCAGATCTTCGCCAAAAAGTTCTAGGATCTCGCTGCCTTCTAACAGAGCTTCTATAGGCTTAAGGATATCCGGTACATAACTCAGCCAGCAGTGTTCAATTAGCAAATACGTCATCTGCTGCTCCAAGGCAGCAGTTTGCATGGCCACTTTAAGATCGTTGTAGAACTCGGAGATGTCATAGGAGGATCCTCCTTGCAATGTCAGCACCTTGGCCTCCTGCAAAGTGGCCGCCGTGTAGATGGCATCCAGGTGTCTACCTCCAGATTGCCCCAGAATGAGCATGTGGGCATCAGTTCGCGATAGAACTCTGGTTATTCTAGCCGTGGTATTCAGGAGTTCCTCTGTGACAGGTGCTGTTATGCTATAGCTTTCGGTATCTAAAAGAAAGATTTGAACATATAAGATATTATCTTTTTACATCTTAAGGCTATACAGAAAATAGTTCATAGATGAATCAGTTATTAAGAAATTAATGTATTTAATTAATTCATCACATCCCATTTAAAAATCCCTTGCATAAGACATCATTGAAGTTGACCACCAGGTAACCGTTTCTCTCCTAACTTGAGCTTACTCTACCATCATTCCCTACCTCTACTTGAATCTCATTGTCAAATAGAACCGATGCTCAGACGAAATTCGATGATTCTGTCTACTTTCAGTGGATGACCCCCGAGGAGGAGGCGCGCCAGAAGTTCATCATGCGGGAGCGGGATCGCGAGCGGAAGCGGATCAAGCGGATGAATCCCGAGTACCGGCAGATGGAGCGCGAGCGGGATCGATTTCGCAAGCTGACGCCCAGGCCCAGTGTAGTTATCCCCGATTACCCCAAATTACCATCCATCTCCTCCTCTTGTCTTGAAACAGCGGAATTACCAACGGGCAACTTCAACTGATGCGTGAGCAGAAACTCTGACATTTCATTTTAAAGGGGAAATGGGTTTCAAAAATTTCTTTAATTCACAGATAAAAGATAGAGTTATTATTACTCAGTAATTTAAAATATGGTTTAATACTTACTGCAAATGGCAACCTGCCTCTGAACTTCCTCCAGCCACTCATCATGAGTTAGGCAATGCAATTGACCCTTCGACTTTGGCGATTTGGGCACGAAAAATGCTTTCTAAAAGGGTAGCGTTCATTAACTTAGTTTTCATTGAGCAAATCCAAAAGTGAACCCACCTCCTTGCCGTAGTATTTGCGCATCGTTTGCTTCAGAATCGCCTCGAACTGCTGCACATGCTCTTCGCTAATCAATCTGTCGCGGAACATGCCTAAAAGCTCGCAATAAAGGGCCTGCAAAAGAGCGAACATTTTCAATCTGATTAACTCTAAACTGAGAGAAAATATTAAGAGTTGAAGAATGGGATAGATAGATACGTGCTTAAATTCTTTTTAGAACCATTTCGTTTTTAATTAGAATACCCTTCAAAGTTTAGTTTAAAATCACTTCTATAAATTGTTAAATTTTCCACCAAATTTTGTTCTCACTGCAACCATACCTCATTGAAATCACTGGCGGGATAAAAGGCGAGGGCGTCCAGCAGCTTCATGATGCACTTTGGGCTGAACTGGTAGTGCGCCTGCCTTCCTCCAGTGGCGGTGAAAGTTGCCTGCAGCTGAAATGGGGTAAAGTCAATTAGCAGGTCCTGCGATGATGAATTCCCCCTTCGGAGGTGAGCGAACCAACCTTCTCGAAGCACTCCATCAGGCTCTCGCTGACGTGCTGTAAATTGACCCCGGACCCTCCTCGAATCGTCGAGCCCCTGAAATGCTCCGCCAAAAGAGGCTCCAATCGCCGCTGGACGATTTCCAGCATATCCTGACTGGAGGGTCGGGAAACGCGCAAAAACTGATTGATGGCAAAGTAACGCGGTGCGATTTTTCCGGGATTTCCGCTAATGGAGGCGCATATCTGCAAGCCGCTCACGCCGATCCATTCGAGATTCTCGGCATAGAAGCCACCACGTTGAGCCAGTTGGAGCAGCAACTCCACCACTTCGCAGGCTCCCCAAGAATCCTGCTGGCAGAGGTCCAGATTCTTCATAAAGAGCACTAATCTCGCTTGCTTCGGTCGGTACTCCCTGCCCTTAACTCCACTCACTGTGACGCAGTGCGTCCTCAAGGTGTGCAGAATGTAACTAGGAGTCAGTTGAGTGGAACAATTAATTGTCGCCAACTGATAGCCAGAGTTCTCCAGCACCGCTCTCTGGATGAGCAGCGTTTTCCCCGAACCACTTGGTCCAATTAGCATGAAGGGTGGGATTCTATTTCCCTGAGTTTTCAGCAGTGTTTCCAGTATTTCCAAATACGATTTAATGTAGGCAGTAATTATCAGTTGAGAGCCCTTCTCTGGTATCTCCATTGCGTCCATGGGATATTGTTCTAGGGAATTTCTACGGCTGTCATAGTAAGTCAGTTCAGCGTGATTGGGATTGGCTACGTAGAGATTGGCTCGCTTTATGATCAGCTGTGCGAATTCCCTCTGTCGATCGTTGGGTATATAGCCAAAAAGAGCTCGAAGGGTGGCAGCTCCGTATTCCTCTAGAGATTGAGAACCCCGGAGTTGTAGGAGTAAAGAACGCAGGAGATGGGCCCGATTTATTCCGGGAAGATGACTGTTTAAATACAAACAAATTAGGAGTTAAAAATTATTATTAATACGGGAATGTTTAAATGAATTTTTAATGTTCGATTTTTTTTTTTAATATTATAATTTTATTATTAGCTCACCTCAATAAAGCTTGACTTTCCAACCAGTCGACAGCATATTGAAAATTGCCATCCACGTAACTTTGCAGTAGATCTCCATAAGGTTCTTTGGAGAGCTCATGTTTGAGTATCTCCTTAGCAGGATAGTAGTCAAAGCTATTGTAAATAATTCCATTAGGTATTATGTATTTATTTATATGAATCATTAACACCAACCTCATGTTGACAATACCCATTCTGGAAATGGTGGCCGGTGAAGCATGCCTCACATCGTCTGTTTCGAAAATAAAGTTCACATTGCTTCCGAATTGAATTCTCCAGCCAGAAGGCAAAGTTAAGAGCCTGAAAGTATTATAATGGAATATTTTGAAATGGTTGGATACTCCGGTTTCAAGACAAGAAGAGCAGAGACAACACAACCCCGAAAAAGACCACGTTTAGCCACACAAGAACACTGCCCGAGAACCAGATTCAGATATCGAGACGAGACCCCATCTGCTGACTGCCGATTGCCAACCAACCACTCTCTCTGTAATTTCAGCTGATGACCCCCGAGGAGGAGGCGCGCCACAAGTTCATCATGCGGGAGCGGGATCGCGAGAGGAAGCGGATCAAGCGCCTCAATCCCGAGTACCGGCGAATGGAGCGCGAGCGCGATCGATTCCGCAAGAAGGCACGACGTGCTAACGTAGCATTTTTCCAATATTCTATATTATTGTACAAATTACATTATCCCACACACACACGCATTCGAAACACACGACACATACACACACACACACACACAGAAACACTCATTCGGCTTGAGAGATTGATAGGAGGGGGGTGGGGGTGCCTAGAAGAAGATCCCGGGACCGTTGACACATATCGAACCCTCCAAAAACCAGACAAACCCCCACAGTTTCTGTGGCCCGCAACGCTGTGCTTTAATGTGTTCTCCCATTGCAGTTGACGCCCGAGGAGGAGCTGCGGCTGAAGATGATCCAGCGGGAGCGGGATCGGGAGAGGAAGCGGATCAAGCGCATGAATCCCGAGTACAGGAGGCTGGAGCAGGAACGTGATAGGGACAGGAAGAAGGCGCGCAGAGCCAACGAGGCCTTCAGGCAGCTGGAGAAGCTGAGGGATAAGATCCGCAAGGATCGCAAGAAGGGCCTTCTGGTCACGGATCCCGCGCAACTGCCGCCGGAGTTTGCGGCCATGATACCGCCAGTGCCTGTGGTGAAGCCCGAGGTGGGCGTGCCACCAGCCCCGCCCCACAGTCAGCAGACCTCGCCACTGCTGCAGCAGCAGCAGCAGCAGCAACAGTTGCAGCAGCATCAGCAGGCGCAGCAGCAACAGCAGCCGCAGCAGCAGCAACCTCCGCCCACGCATCTGCAGGAGCAGCAGTTGAGTCACCAGCTGGCGCACCAGCGGAACCGCATGATGTCCAGCCAACTGACCCAGCTGGCCACGCCCCCCGCCCACGCCACGCACCTGCAGCAGCTGAACAAGTTGCAGCAGCTCTACCCGCCACGGAGTTTCGGACATCCCGCACTGCCGATCGCCGGAGTGACGCTGATGCCGCAGCTCTGCCATCCCATCCTGCATCAGAACATCAGTGCCAGCTTGTATCCGGGTCCGCCGAATGGCATCAAGCAGGAGTACGGCCAGGACATCTCCGCCTCGGCGATGGCAGCAGCTCAGGCAGCGGCATTGGCCTCGCTCAGGAATCCCCAGCAGCAACAGCAGCAGCAGGATGATGCCGAAATGGTCATCAATCTCGAGCCAGAGATTGTGCTCCAGACCGGTGCCGATATCAATCCCGCCCAGCCACCGCCGCAGCAGCAGCAGCACCACTTCAGCGCCCATCAGCAGCAGCAGCAACAGCAACAGCAGCAGCAACACCATCTCCAGCAGCAGCAGCATTGCAACATGTTCCAGCATATGGCGCCTCAGGCGCACATGCAACACATGCGATCGCTGCCGCCACCGCCCCCGCCCCCTTCGCTGACGTTGCCCCCTCTGCCGCCCCCGCCACCTGCAACACACCAGCAACAACAACAGCAGCAGCAGCAATCTGCGCCGCCACAGCAACTGCAACACGCGCCGCAGTGAGAGACTCTCGCCCGTAGTCCTAAGCTCAATTCTCTAGCCAGCTAAACGCATCCGAAAGTTTGAGGGCACACACGCCTGGAGTTGTGATCTAATTGTTTGTGTAAAGTCTTAATTTTATTACGTTTTCAGAAATTATTTGTGTTACCATGTTTGTATTTAAAGTTAAAAGTTAATTTTTTTTAAATCTATGCTCCAAGCATTCTTTGGCAGTTAAGTTAGTACCAATTACACCCATTAACCAATCTCCTACCAATCAACAAAAGAAAATACTCAGCAACAGTAAAAAATTGTATAAACTTTCGAATGAATAGACATTGTGATAAAGTGCACCTTTAGCTTAAATACTCATTGAAAACTTGGAAAGCTTGTGCTGAAAACTGATTGAAATATTTTGTGCAACTTGTCTTAAGTGTTGGTAGAAACGTGGTTAATATTTATATGAATTAAGTCTGAAAATCACAACTCCCAAGGAAGTGTGCCAACATCTCATACGCACACACTCGCACTCAAACCCACTCATGTTCATTTCTGTGTATGTTAAGTAGACGCCATTTGAAAAATGCCGATACGTATTATGTTGCGTTACGCAATCCGCATTACGTTACTTTAGTGGGCTTCCCCGTCATAATTTGTTTATGTCGTCATCGTTTCAAGCATTTCTCTGTTTTTTAGGTCTGTACGTATTTTGTTTAGTCGCTAAGTGATAGATGATACAATATTTGCCAGATTAGGATGATACGATCTACAATACGATATAACGATAACTGTATACCTATGTATATGATATAATGATATAGTATGGCCAGCTGCGAAATAATTAATACGAATTTATGCGCAAAAACACAAGCGAAATATAAGCAGCAAACTAATCGTTTGCTAAAAATTGAAATCGAGTTGTGTAAAGTAGATTTTAAATTCTGTGAAAGTAAATTATTAAGTTGGTTTTCCTTACTTGTTATCATCCAGAACCGAGTTGAGTGCCTCTATCCACTCCGGATCGATGCTGCCATCGCAGACGATCCACGAGTGGACTTGAGATGGCTCCTGATTGACCGCCACCGCCGTGTGGGTGAGCACTCCGTCCTGCCACTGACGGGTATCCGCATCCAGGCGTCCCAGCAGCTGCACTCTGCTCATGGACTTCGGACTGATGGTGTGCACCTTCAGTTGGGAGCCACTGAGCGCCTGTCTGAGAAGGGCCATGACGGTGGACTTTCCGCATCCTGGCGGTCCCACCAGCACCACGCCCATTCGTTTCTGCAGCTGCTCGTGCAGTTGCAGGGCCTTTTCAATTTGCCTCTCGCTTCGACAGAGTCCCAGTTGGGCAAAGGCGGCAGCCAGAGATTGATGGAGCTGCGTTTCTGGCGCCGGAGAGCTGCCAATCTCGGGGAAGACATTCCGCAGCAGCATCTCAAATCGAGTGACATCGTGTGGGGCCAACTTGGACATGGTGGACGAGCGCAAACATCGAACCACAACCGACATCTCCTCGTTGGCAGTTGATTGCGTATTTTCCGCGCTGGCTAATTGCCCCCTCAATCCTTCACCGCAGACCAGAAGCACTGTCTTCAGTTCCCGGAGTCCCCAGTCGTAGTGCCTTTGGGCTGATAACATCTTCCCGCACAAATCGAACAGCTCCACGATGCGGGATGCAATCGAGGAGGCCTCGGCAAACCCCTCGACGAAGAGCATTACCCGAGCGATTTCCCCCGGTTCCGGCTGTTGCATCACAATGGGTCGGAAAAGCGCCTGAATATTCCCGGGGAGCTTCTGTCGACCTCCATACTCAGCTCCAGCTGGATTTAGAGTTACGAAAATGCCACAGTGCTGGTTTAGTTGGACCTAGGAAAAGAAAGTAGTTTATATTATATTTATAAATATGTTTTATAAACCAATTTCCAATTTGTCTTAAAATATTTAATACCTGAGTACTGTTTTACATAACTCTATAATTTTCAACTAAAAAGTAGATCCGACTGAACCGTTTGCCAATGCAATTAATCATCCCATAAATCGCCTCGCAGTGAATTTCAACTTTCGACCCGCTCCATAACTCATCCTGCTCACCTGTCGCTCCCCAATCTGGACGCTATTCGAGCGCTCCTTCAAAGCACTCTGGATGGGCTGGATCAGCATGGAGATGGAGGACAGGGTGGCCTCCTGCAGCCGGTTGAACTCGTCAAAACAGCCCCACGCCCCGCAGCGGGCCAATCCTGTGAGGATGAGGCTCATCGACTCGGTGTCCACGTTCTGCAAACAATCCATGGCATAATGACGTATAGCAGGGGAATTATGATGCACTTTGCAAAATAATTTAAAATTATTTACAGGTAAATAAAATTTAAATTGATAATATGCATTTTCGTTTCCAAAATAAAAACAAATTTCTGTTATTTATCTAATGTTATGTTTTGAAAAGTATTTTTCATATGGGTGGATATAGAGGAAAATACTGCGAACCAATTTTTTTTAGTTAAATTCCTCTCAGTATTTATGATATATTTTCCACTGTGTACCCACACTCACCTCGTCGCAATTGAAAACCAACACGAGGCGACCCAACATGGCCCCGAGGGCCTTGACGCATTCCGTCTTGCCGGTGCCGGCCGGGCCAAAAGGATTACCGCCCAAGCCCATGTGCATGGCCTGCGTGAGGATGAGATAGCAGCGGTGGGTGAGCCGCGTGTGGACCAACTTGCTGGCCTGGCCCAGGAACTCGTAGGCGTATTCAAATTCGGCATAAACCATGCGCACGCAAACTTGTCGATTGGCATTAACTGGACCGCCGCCCGATGTTCCGGCCGCCTTTCCCAGGTAATATCTCAGTTGACACAGCCAGTGCCAGTCGCTGGTGTGGACCACATTGTGCTTCTGCAGCTGCTCCACCACACTCGAGTAGTGCACCAAGTCCAGCAGAAGGGCTCTCAATTTGAGGCTGACCAGGGTTCCGTTGGCAGATTTGTTTTTCAACGCAGCCAGGTGGTTGATTTCGTCCTTTAACTGTTGCTGCAGTTTTCCCAAGGACATGCCGCCGATGGCCTGCTCCGCCTGACGAGTGAAATGAAGGGCTCTGGACGTGGCCAGCACCTGGCTGGCGTAGGTTTTCAGGACCTTCTCACTCAGGTTATCGCTGCCTCCGGAGGTGTTGGTATAGCACTCGTAGATCTGATCTCGTAGAGTTTCCTGTATCACTGTTACCAGTTGGTTTAACCAGCGCTGCCAAAAAAGGTTTAAGTAATAAAATGGAATTATTATAAATATTATTATAGTTATAATCAAAACTATAAGGTTCCATTCTTAAATATCATGAATAAATTAAACAAGCTTTTTAAATAGGATTTTTCTAATATGAGTAAATATTATCACGAATTTTATGCATTTTTGACCAGTTGACTTACCTCGATGTCGCCCTTCATTTCGACAGGCTGGCTTAGCTTGAGCTCATCGCCCTCGGCACTGTGCACTGCCATAATGCTGTACTGATTGATCTCGGAGGATGTGGCAGGACTTGGATTGGCCATCTGCCGGATGCTGAGACTGTGACAACCGGGGAACAGTTTACGGATGTGCCGCTGGATGACATCCGCATCCTTGCTGGCCTGTCCAAGCAGCTCAAGGAGATCATCATCGCCCAGGAAGTAGAAGCGGGGAAAGGAGTTCCGCTTGTCCTGCAAAAGGGATTATAATTCCTGATGGATTCGGATTGCAGGACTGCATTACTCACAGTTATGTAGCTCATCAGATTCTGCTGGCACCTGGCCAATTGGGTTTCCAGTGCATTCACAATGGTGGTGATGTTGTTTATCTTTGTGAGTGAAGTTACCCGAGGGTCCATTTCGATTTCCCGCATCACAAAACGAAAGTCCTTGTCTATTCTTTTGAATAGCGCCTGCTCCTGTTGCAAAGTTCCAGAGCCAAAGACAGGTGCCAAGTAAACCCAGCTGAAAAATATGGTAATTAAAAAAACATTTATAAATATGTAAATAATATTTAAGATTCCTATTTATTTTTAATATTCAACTCACCGCCTTTGGGAATGATTTAAGCTACTAAGAAGTGCATCTAATGTATTCAACCGACTTTCCCAAAGTTCCGCCTGATCGGAAAAGCTATCAAAAGCAGCCGAGTTCTTGGCAGATTGCAACAACGATTGATTGTCCCCGATCTTGTTGAGCACCTCCTGGTAGTCCTTAATCAAAGAGACATTCTGACCAGAGGCATCCGTTCTGGTGATCAATTTCAGTTGGGCAGTAACCGACCACTGATCAAGTTCAACCAAAGCCTGTCTCACAATTTGCTCACTCGAAGCCTGTCTAACTATACTTCCAATTTCAGTGGAGGCAGATTGCAGGACATCAAAATCATCTAGGATATCCTGAAGAAGTATTGAGTGTAGAGGCTTGGTTTCCTTATGATTCAGGAGCTGAAATATCCTGGCCCAGTGTCGTTCACTCAACGAATCCGATTGCAATTGCTGCAGAATGGGCAAAGCTGCTTGAAGTCTTTCCACCTGCTGACGGATTCTCTTTGAGGGTAAATCAATGGAGGCGTGAACAGAGCCCTCCCACTTGCCAATAAATTCATTAAGGACATAGGGACGTCTTCTGTAAATGGCCCACTCCTCCTGAAGAATTGGTTGCAGTTCAGTGAGGAAAGCATCGTAAACCTGCCATTGTTTTGATTGCTGCTCCATCTGCTCTTCGATTTCCTTAAAGGGAAGAAGCATTTCCGATGGAAACTCCATGTTAAATTTGGAACACTCCTCCAAAAGTTGTTTCTTCTTCTCCTGCAATTGCTGCCAATGGAGTCTGCGTTCTTTGAAAACCTCTAAGGTAGAATTTTCATTGGCTTCCAGTTCGGCAATTGTGGATTCCCATCTTAAAAGGAATTTCTCTGCTTCGTTTTTCAGGTTTTGCAGTTGTGTTTCCGCCTGATTTTTTATCATGTCCACTTGCCGCTGGAGGATCACTGCATGATTTTCCAAAAGAGGTTGCAGCTCTTCCCATTGCTGAAGAATTCCCGAAAGAGCGGTGACTCTTTCCTTGCACCAACCTGCCAAGCAGGCATCCTTTTCCTTAACCGAATCCAAAGTTTTCTCGATCAGCGGCAGCTCACTCATTATCTTTTCGTACTTCATGCCCGATTGACTAATGCTCCCCTCATCCATTGGCACATTTTGCAGAAACTGCAAAGCACTTTGCAGGAATTCCTGAATCAAACTCACATCCGTGAGGATTGCAGTCCTTAAACTGTTCGCCAGAGACTCCCAATATCGCCTGCTTATGTATTCTATATCCGATCTTAGGGGAAGGACATTGATAACTATGCAGTCAATGGATTCCTCTGCCTGCTGAAGTTTTGCCAACTGTTGGCTAAAGTGTTTGCAGGATCTGAAGTTGCGATCCCAATCATCGGCTTCATTAAGGTGAATTCCACACAGTTGCTCCACATCCACACATCCCAAAGCGATCCAGGGCAACCAAATGGTCTTGAAATCCTCCAGTTTATCAAACAACTCAGCTGCTCTTTGGTAAAGTGGTCCAAAGTGATGACGATTCACAGTAACCATGGATTTGAACAACTCTTGGCTGTGCTCCGATAATCCATGGAAATTACAGGGTCTTTCGATAAATCTTCTCAGCTGACTGAAGTACAAGTCACGAATTTCCTCTTCCGGCGGACTGTATATCAGTTCTCTCTGTCGCAGAATTAGCTTTACATGTATGTCTGGCAGCTTATTGTTCATGTCGAGTAATCCATAGATGTACTGGTATTCAAGGACCTTGTATAATTGGTGATCCCAGTGCAGCTTGAAGGCATCCAAGTGGGTGTATCCCTGACGCTCCAAAGTGGCCACCAGTTCGCGAAGATGACGCAGCTCGTCCTTCCAGATTTGGTTTTGAGTGAACAGATCCGTGGACATTAGTTTCATTACCTGAAAATAATTTGTTTAGTTAATGAATATTCCCACATAAAACTTATTTAAATTACTCGAAAGATAATCTCAAAAATGTTACAATTAAATGAGATTAAAATTAAGGTCTCTTTTTAAGAACCTACCGTTCTCTTGGCCTGTTCATGATATCCCACAAGAAGTGTATTATCCGTCGAGAGTTTCGAAACAGCTGCTTGCAGGATATCAACGTATCGCTGGACAGAGGACTCGTCCTGCCAGGCTACAGTTTCGCTTTGTACCAATCTCTGCAACTCCAAGGCATTCTTCAGCATAATTGGCCGCTGGCAGGGAATCATTCGATCTCCAATTGTGTTGTGAAAAGTGGCGATTTGCTGCAGTCTTCTGGCATAGCACATATATTTGGCTGCATGAGTAGCAGCAGCTCTTAATTCAAGAGGGACATTATAGCCAAGATTCTCGAATTCGCGCACATCCTGGCAAAAGGTGACCAGTTTAGGGTTGAAGGTCACGCGCATCAGTTGGCGACCTTCTTTTTCGAACTTTACAACAGCTTGATCGTCACGAAGTCTAAAATAAATAAATATATTTTACATATAAAACATTCATTAGGCATTAAGTACTAAGAACTTACCTTAGTTCCCCGCTTTTCACAGCAGTAGAACACTGTCCCGACCAAATCTCAAAATTCGTACGAAGCAAAGACTCGGTTTCCTCCTTGATTTCCTGCACTGCCTTGTTGATCTTGTCGAAACCCTCGCGTCCACTTATCAAATGGCTAACCTTCTCGATCTCCTGGATCTGATGTTGCACCACTTTTAGCCAACGGCATTCGTTACAAATCACTGATAAGTGACCGGTATCGGGTTCCATATTCGAATCAGACATCGCCTTGCGTAAATCCTGCAAAAGGATGTGCAGCGATTGCAGGAATTGCTCTCTTTCGATGGTAAGAAGTTCCAGGACAGCCGGTCTTTGAATAAGAGTTTCGTACTTAGAGAAGATGAAGATCACTTGTCGTGGATTACTTAGGTGGTTATGCAATTGAGCCTTTAAAGCCGCGGCAATTCGTTCGTCGATTGGCTGCAGGACCTGCTCAAAATGGTGCAGAGCCTTGTGCCATTTTGTTTGCCCCAGCGAGGATGTGTCAAAGATGTTAAAGTCTGAAAATAAATTTTTTAAAATTAATTAACTTAGGTAAACATTTATTATGGTAACTCACCCGTAAAAGGAGCTTGTTCCTGAAACATTTCCTGCAGTTCTGCATCGTCGAGCAAAGTTGCGATTTGTTTGTAGAGCTGTTTGATGCTCCGAATCTCACTAAGTCGCTCCTTAAATTGTTGTCCCCTTTTTGGCAAGTGAGGATCTCCCAGCCACGGATGCTTTACATAATTTGGCCAAAAGAGTCGCGTGAGGGAGTCGCAGAGCTGAATCCATGCATCCACCGTATCGATGCTTTGACTCATCAAATTGTTGACATGACTTGAGTTCAGACTCCAAATGTCCTCGGCCAGCAATTGGGTCAAACAAACCTCTAACAATCGCTTTCCAATTATGTCCAGCAGATCTGACATTCGCTGCTGGGGATAATTGTAGGGAAGGCGCCACAATTCATCCAGATTGTTATGGGCGTGGTCGAGAAATTCCTCAATCGTGCCACTCGGATTTGATCCGTCAATTGTGCTGGAATAAAAAACGAGATTAAATTAGGGGCAGATTTGACTAATAAAATCTTACCTCATTTGTTTTTCAATGTTCTCCAGGACACCAATAAATACTTGTGCTGCTTCTCGGTCTAAACGAGAACTAGACTTTTGGCCTAGCTTTTGTTTCCAATATTTGATCTCATCTCGAAGACTTGTGATGCCTATTAAAAAGAATTTAAAAAAAAAACAATTTTCAAAATGGGAGATGTGGATGCATTTAATAGGTTCTGCAATTTCCAGTAGTCCTATAAATGTCCTTTAATATAGAACTGGTATCTCACCACTCTGTGGCAATCCCAAGCTGGAACCCAAGTTTTGGTGCAAGTTCTCCAGAATGCCACTCAACTCGGGCCCATATTCGCTGCGCTGAAAGTAATAAAATATTTAAAGGTAGAGCAGCGTGCAGAATAACCCTAAACCTATTGGAAAAAACAACTTGGATGGAAGGGCAAGCCAAAGTATAAATGGCAAAATGAAATTGCAGACTGGATTGAATTATGCGCAAATGCGATTAAGACTGCAGAGAATGCGACAGCGAGATGCAAGTTAAGCCGAGTGAGGGAATTAGCCAGGTAGAATATTACACTAGACTACACAACACCACACTGGCCGGCACACGAGTGGCTCGACTTACCCGGGCTGAGTTGGCAGAGGGCGAGAACACCCGAGAAACGGAATTGTAAATCGACTTGACCAGGCCCCCTTCCAGGGTCAAAATGCCCAGAAGAGGCTCACCGCCTCCCTCCCGGGGATTTTGGCCCACCTGCGGCACCTTGTAGAACAGCAGGCAGAGCTCCTCGCTCGGAATCCGATGGTGGAATCGGATTTTGCCATCGCTCTTACTGTGCACCGCCGAGATGACGGTGTGCTCCTCCTGTTCGAGGAACTCCAGGATCATGGCCGTTTGTTCGTCCAGTTCGGAGCCCGGCAAACGGGCCGAAAAATACTCCACTGAGGTAAAGAGTTATTAAAGTTTGGTATTCTATATCACTTTATGTGGTTTAAAGATTTGAAAACTCACCGGAAGTATTTATTATAAATTTAGTGCGCTGGGTCATCTTATTAAATTTTCTGCATCCAACTTTCAGTTTTTAATGAAGCTCTTTCACTTTTTCCTTTAGTCAAACTATTTGTTGTTCTTTTCGGTTGCCACGGAAACCTACACAAGGTTACCCAAGGGATGGTTTTTGCACAGAAAGAAAATATTATTAAGTTATAAAATAAATAAATAAAATAACTGCGATAACCTCTAATCTTTTTAATTGAAATGCATCTTAACAATAAACAAAATCTATAAATTATTAAATTAAATTATTATTAAATTATTTTAAGTTTTAGCATTTTGCATTTAAATTACAAACTTTTTTCTACTAGTGTATTGGCTCCTGTAACTAAGGATGTTGTTGTTTTTAGGGTTTTTTTCTCCTTGCACCTGTTGTTTGCCTTTGGGCAAATGACACGTGTTGTGTTGCCATGGTTGGCATTTGGAGTGGGGGTGATGGGAGTTTTGTGTTTGTCCCCGTCCAGCTTTCATGCATCCCCTCCTGGCTTTACCTCAATCCACTCGGGAGTCCTGCTAATGAAACCGAGCACTCGACTGGGCGGCTGCACTAAAAATGCCTCAGCAGGTTTATATCATTTGAATGCCCATTAATTGAATTGTGCGGGCGTGTTCAAATGCCATTTGCCGGCCAGCTGGGACGAATCCGAAGGAGGACTCGGCTCAGGACATTCGACAGATTCGACAGGAGCCAGTTTTATGACTTTGCCAAGGCTGTAACAACTCAATCTTTGGGGAAAAGCAGGTGAGGTTAGAAGTTCGAGGCAGAAATTAGAGCTTTTTAGGCCACTGAACTTGTTTTACCACACTAGATTGCACTTTTCAAATTGAAGATTTAAATAAAATTGAGATAAAGACAAAATCGTAAAATTAAGTAGAGTAGTTATAACATCACAATTTACTTATTATATGATTATCGCTTTAATTTATTTTATATACACCAGCTACTTTTATTGAATAAAGTCAGCCGTTTATTTCCTTTATCCCCCTTTCTTCTTAGGTAAAAGTTCACTTGATTCTAATCACATTTTCGGTGAGCCGAGGGATCCAAGTTGCGCCTAAACTTTTGGCATTGGCGCAAAACTAAGTTACGCAAACTAACTCCGTAAACTATGAGTTGGACTACCGCATATCCTAGGCGAAGGCTCAGGCTAGAAAGGATGGAGCGGAACTCCACGCAAATTTAATAACCGATGCAGGCCGGGATGATTCACAGGAGGGGTTTTCCGCCGGAAAAGCCAAGCATCAAGCGCTTAAGCTGTCTGCATGTGTTTGATGCAGAAAGCGCCGAAATGTTTGCCTTCTACTTCCTTTCACCACCACTTCACATTGCCAACACTCTTCATTGTTTGGAATCAAACAAAGTTTCATGGGCAAAAAAGGGAATCACTTTTTGCTGCCTGGCAGTATCTTTTTTTTAAACTTTTTTCTCTGAAAAGCTTAAAACTGTTACTACTGTCAACACTTGAATTTCTGTGGCAGACTTCTGCCATTTAAGCAAATTAACTGTATAATTAAGTTCTTCTATAGTTCCTTCTCCTTGTTTTATTAAGCTTTGCAGTTTGACTTCATTCCAAAAAGAATTCTTAAAGTTATTGTTAGTAGCTTGAATATAAATTTTTAAAAATTTAAGAAGCTGATACAATTTATGGTTTGCAGTTCATTTAAGCTTCTGATCAAATCAAAGCAATATCCCTCTAATTGGGCGTTTAATAAAATGGAACCGAGCATTACATGATAAATACCCAAAAGTGGGCACTAAATTCATTCACTGCTGATTTGGGCTCGCGTCTTTAGGTTGATTTAACATAATAGTCGTGATGGCTACTGACTGATGGCGATTTATGGTCTTGGGGAGATTTTATGTGGCTACCAGGGTTGCCAACTACTCGCTCCCGTATCGATAATATTTTATGCGTTTGTGCTTTTCTTTTTATTGTCTGCGATTACGAGACAGTTTTCTTGGGGCCTGCGAAACAAATCCACTGACAAAGACAATGGAAGGAACTTCCTTCGGGGGATGTGGCAATTTTAGTGCCGGCTTGGCCAAGAATTTATGGTTTATGGATTTTGTCAAATTACATGTTATTCCTGCCAGCTTTTCCGACCAACCTTTTGTCTATAAATTGTCAACACATTCAAGGCGTTTGCATTTGGGCATGGAAATGGGAAAACTGGCTACCATGTGCTTGTGTTTGTGTGTCTTAGCCTCTTTGCATTGAAATTGCTCTTTGATGTCGCCGTACATTGTTTACTTGTTTACATGCCTTGTTTTATTTTTTGCAACAATAAAAACATATAAATGTGTAAATTTTTATCGCCCCACATCCTGGCAACCATGAAGTGGAAATTATATCGAAGATTATGATTGTTATGGGTTCTACGACATTGTATTATATTTATGGTTGTCCAGGCTAATAAATAAATATAAATTGAAAACAGAAGGGCAGTTACAGGTCGTGTGTGTGGGCAGACTATGCAAATTACTTCTTATCTGGTGATTGGCAATAAAAGTGTGTAATCTTGTGGTAGATTATTAGGTACATGATGAGCCCTTTGAACGGAGAAAAATGCCTTAAGAATTATAGAATGGTGAGCAGAAATATAAAATTCTCTTGTAAGCATTTGCATTCTTTAATACCTCTGTAGGCAGTTTTTAGTTAAAAGAAAATGTGCTTAACTTTTTTGTGTAAAATTGGTCGAAGGTCTACACCTCCGACGATTTCCTATTCCAAAAACAAATATCTTTCTAGGAAAACCAAACTTTCTGCAAACATTCACCCAAATTCCCTTTCCGGTGAAACACGATTTGGTTAATTGCTCGAATGGCTTAAATGGCAAACAATAGAAATTGGGCCAACGGTCGATGGTCATTGAATTTGAAATATTTTTGGACTAGCACACCAAGCAGGAACGACAAGTCTAATTGGGGTTGGATGGGGGAAGAGTTTGAAAAGAAATCAGGTAAAATTGAAGAGCGATTGTTTATGTTTGTGGCTGCCTGTGTGGCAGTAAACAATGAATATGCATGACTTGCCATGAAGCATGCCACACATGCAACAACAGAAATCGAGAGACAGGAAGAGCAACTTGAATTTGCGAAAGTGATATTCTGGCCGGAAAAAAAAGGATATGCCATCGAGTAGCAGCAGAAGGAGATGGCTGGCTCACATCTCTATTGACATGCATAACGTTGATTAATTAATGCCGTCGATACGTCGATGACAGTTGCAGGAATTTCCTCCGTTCGAGCGGAAATAGGACTTAGACGACTTGCCTGGCTTTCATACATCTGGCTGGAAAGTTAAGAGCAGCTTAACCCGTTTCATTTGCGAAATGTTCCCAGTTCTGTTTGCATAAGAAGGAAGTTTTTCGATTGGGAAACGAACTTCGAGTCGTCGCATCTTCGAGGGTCTCCTGTCTCAGTGTCTGTTGCATAATCTGGCAATTAGTAAATGTCAAATTCCCAGCTCGCATTGAAAGTCGAAATTTACAGCCTGCGAATCGCAGTTATATATCATCGGGCGGTCCAAGGAGACGGCGCCTGTAAATATGCAACGGAAATTGCAGCTACGCATGTGATTATGTTGTCTGTGTCCCCGAGGAGCGCATATGTATGCAGGAATATGTAAACATGTGCTACACATATTCGCCTGTGTGCGTGGCTGAATCCTTGGCTTGATTAAAAGCCTTGTCCCGGCGATGAATTGTTGCTGCATACTTTGGGGCTTTCCTCAGGAGCAACACTCCTTCCTCCTTCGTCCTTTTAAGGTGAGCTGCGTCTTATGCTAAGGATGCGCTGGTGTAGAATTTAATGTTCAGGAGTTTATCAAAAGGATTCCTACATGCCACATTAAGAATGCATACATCCTTTAATCATTAATTCGCTGTTGACAATCAATTCATATTGCATATTTTAAATATCATTTTTAAAATGGAAAAACATCACTGCTTCACCAACGAATTTAGAAGCCCAAATAAGCAGCATTTGTGATTTACGTATTCAAACAACATTATTGTACGGCAAGTTCGGTTGTATAAATTATCATAGAAAACAAATAATTTTTCTGAAAAAAAAACTAAGTTATTGGTAAGCTAAAGCCAAATAAAACTAACGAAGGGCTAATTGATTTGGATTCTAGAACGCAAGATGGATGTTCTATCAAAGCCAGCTATACGTATTCACCCTACGGCTCCAATAGTTGAGGTTAACGATCCAGATGATATCCAAAATCAAATCAATTCGAGCCTTTACGATGAGAAAGAGTGCAATTTACTATTCGAGGAAATAGAAATTATGCGTAAGGATTACGACAACTGGGAGACAATTTTTAAGGACATCTATTCCAAAGTGAAGCCTGAGATTATTTTATGGGAAAAGGCTTATAAGGACGTATGCGAAATGCTAGAAAAAAACAATACCCAGGAGAATTTCACTGGAAGCGAATGTGGCCCTTATGTTAGAATTGTGCACCAGTACAAACAGTCTCGTTTTCTTAAAAAAGAAAGCGAGGAGGAACTCCCCCTTTTCACATTGCCCAAGGCTTTGGCTTTAATTCAGCAGAAAATAATTTCCCTTAAGACGTCAATGATAAATGTCCAAATTGATGAACAGTATGTAAGCCTTCAGCGGGATAAAATCAACTGCATAGAAAAGTGCCTTAAGAATAGGGAAAGATATCTTACACATAAAAGAATTGCTGAAGAGAAATTGGCAAGTTCGACTGATAATTTGGAAAAGGAATCTCAAGAGTCTTCGGAGGGTCAGCAGGATTGCAATGAAAAATTCAAGGAAGTTATGTCATTGGTGGAAAAAGACGCCTCGCTACTAAGCGAAATAAGAAATGACATTTCTCTTCTTTTCAATGAGCTACCTTCTTTTCAATCTGAAGATGAACCGGATTCAGGAGTTAATTTAGTTAGAAAAGAAATCGATGAACTTCTCTTGAATTGGGGTAAAGAAAAAGAACAAAGTAAGTCAATAAGTGTGAGTGCAAATAGTTTAGTTGAATCTATATCTGCTAATATAAATTTGAATGAAATCGATGATACTGAAAATAATTTAAGTAATTTACAATCAATTAACGAGTCTGTCAAATTAGACTCATCGGATAATGATTTCTTTTCGTTTATGTTACCTGATAATATTGATTTGACAGATTCCACTATAATACATAATGAAAATGAAATACCTAACTTGAACTCGACTGAAATTGATTTTATTAAAGAAAAAACACTTGAAATCGAATTGGCTGAAGATCAAGATAATCTCATAAGTTGTAAAGAATTCGAATCTACTGAAACCACGTGTGCTTCACAGATAGGAAAAGAAGATCACAATTTTGTAAGAAATCATAGGGATGAAATAAACTGCATTGAAAAGTGCATAAAGAAGAAGGAAATATTGCTCGCTCAGAATAAGATTGCTGTGGAAAAACTTAAAAAAATAAGTGCCCATTTGGCAAGAGAATCGCATAGGTTTTCGGAAGATCTGCAGATATCTGACGGAGAATTCAACGAGTTTATGTTAGGAGTGGAACAGGACAATAATTCTCTAAGCCACATTACAGAGGATATTGTACTTCTATTCAATGAGCTTTCGACTCTTCACTCAAAATTTGGAACGAATTCAGGTATTAATAGCGTTAAAAAAGAAATTGATGAGCTTCTTTTGGAATTGGGAAAGGAAAAAAACCAAGCCAAGCCGACTGATTTGTTTAAAAATGATTTAATAGTCTCAAATGGAATCCATCCTAATGAAAACAATTCATGTGCCATCGATTCAACAGGAAATTTAACTAAAAACAATTGGAATAAAGATGAAACTAATTCGACTGAAGGTAACATCATTGAATTTGAATCTTTAAAAGACACATTTACTTCACATTTAGGCAAAAAAGATCACAAGAATGTCAATTCTGGCTCTGAGAAAATGAACTTAATAAAAAGGTGCATACAAAAAAAGAAGTATTTCTGGCTCAAAACAAAATTGCTGTAGAAAAACTAAAATATATAAGCAGACATTTTTCACAGGAGCCCCAAAAGTTTTTGGTAGGTCAGAAGGACTTAAACGCAGAACTTTATGAGTTTATGTTGGAAGTGGAAAAGAACAACACTGCAATTAGCCATATTACAGATGATATTTTACTTCTTTTTGATAAGTTTTCGGCTCTCCGGTGTACAAATATCACAAATAATGCTATAATTGGTGTTAGAAAAGAAATCGATAAGCTCCTCTCGAAATGGGGTGAAGATACAGAAAAGGCCGAGTCAACAAGCCCTTGTTCAAATCAAACTGAAATCGATTTAAATAAAATTGATTTAATTGATTTGACTCAAGAAACAGATTTGTGGAATTTAACTATAGTTGATACGACAGAAGAAATCGGTGTTACTGAAAATGGAAAAGGTGAGTTCATTAAGATCCAGTCTACTACAAATGATGAGGTTGAAAGAAATACTTCGACTGAGGGTGAGATCAACAAATATAATTTAACTAATGATGATTCTACAAATATTGAACCTTCGGAAACCGTAAGCACTGCCCAAAATGAAAATAAATGTAAAATTGACTCCGAAGAGGAATGTCTTCTTAAATGTAGTGGTGAAAATAAAAGTACATCCAGAAATTCGGATTTTGATCATATTGATGAAGAAATTGATTCAAAACCTGCTGCTCCGGATCAAGAGCTTCATAAATCAGTAGATAAATCCTTGCAAGATTTGAGAGACCTTCTTAGCTTATGCTCCCTTAGCTGCACTGAAAGAGAAGAACCTACAGATAACGAATTGACTGAAATTGATTTGAGCAAAAACAATTCGACTAAAGTCGACTTATTTATTCCCGATTCTATTGAAAATGAATCTGTTAATAAAAACGAAGAAAATACTTCTAAGAGTGGAAAGCCAGATTTAGAAGTTCATAAATTAGTGGATAACTACTTAGAAGATATGGGAGACCTTCTTAGTTTATTCTCTCTCCATTTTATCAAAAAAGATGGTTCTATTGACAACAATTCAAAAGAAATAAAATTGGATAAAAAAGATTCGACCGAAAAAGAACCGATTGAAACCGAGGGAAACAAATCCGATTCCACAGAAAATTATTTGAAGAAAATCGACTCCACTGGAAATGATTCTATTAGCATCGATAGTAATTTAGAAGAGGAACGCAAGTCAAGTTGTGAAAATCAATTTATAAATGATGCAGAAAATATGAATCCAAACGAGTCACCGAACCTTAAACTACATAAATTTGTAGATGATTCCTTAGCAGATATGAGAGACCTCTTAAGCGTATTCTCTCTCGACTCTACCGAAAAAGACGATTGTATCAAAAATAATTTTGTTGAAATAAAATTAGACAAAAGTGATTCGACCGAAAACGATTCGAAAGAAATGAAGGAGAACACAAACGATTCTACTGAAAACTATTTGGACAAAGTCGACTCTACTGTAAATGATTTCCCTAACATCGGTACTAGCTTGGAAGAGGAATGTAAACCAAACTGTGAAGACACAAATTTAAATAATGAAGAAACTAAAAACCAAACCAAAACACCTAATCCAAAACTTAATGAATTAGCCAGCGATTCCTTACAAGATTTGGCAGACCTTCTAAGCTTATGCACGCTTCAATCTCCCAAAAAAGGGAATTCTGCTAAGAATGACTCTTCTGGAAAGGAATTAAACGAAACCAACTTGACTAAATATGATGCGACTGAACAAGATTCCACAGAAATCGGTTGGAGTACGTTTTTAAACCATAAGTTAGAACATTGTGTTAATGATTCTTTGGATGATAACTTTTTGCAATCGAAAATAAATTCACATGATTTATTTCCGGACTGCCCCGATGCTCAAAACTTAGCTGATACTAAGAAATCTATTATTATTCATAAAAATACTGGTTATTGTTCTTTCAATGAAGTTCTTAACAATTATGAACAGCCGATAATCGAATCGAAGGATGAGACTGAATCAGACGTTGACATATTTTATAATTGTGAATCTCCTGAGAAGACTTATGTATTTAAAACAGATCAATAAGTAATTTTTTACTTTGTTATGGATATTGAACTTCCTTTCGTACTTTTGTACATACAATCTGATTTATAACGCTGAAACTTTATAAATAAAACAAACGATGGCCTAAGGTGTAAGAGCAGAGCCTAAACATTTTAAAAAGTGAAACAATCATATAAAATATTTAGTTTTTATAAAGTGGTTGTTTTGTTTTTTGAAATGTTTTCACTCTGTGATTGCATTTTATGCAGCTACATTCTGTGATCTCTCTGTGTAATTAAATTATTCATTTGAGTCTTGAACAAGAAAAGAAGCTTAAAAATTGTCAATCCATCTATTAGTAGCTGAGAAACCAGAGCAACTCCACTGCAAAATCCACTACAAATGACGCCTCCCAAATGAATAATTAAACATAATTAGCCACCATTAACAAGAGCACATCCCCCGGAGCGAGTCGAATCCGATTGCAAAGCGCAGCCCTGACACACAGTTGGCCAGCCCAAGGGCATTCCGGCCAAATCAAAGCGAATCAACAGTTCAATTGGATGGGGTCAGGGGGTCAAAGTGGGCGGCAGACCCTAATAAGTCAACTGCAATGCATAAATTTCGGACCAGCAGCAGGCTTTTGGTCCAGGTGGCAAACCCAAACACAAAACCAAACCCAAATCGGAGGACCAGGCCAAGTGTTTGCCATTCCGACTTTGGCAAATAACCCAGAGATTCGTGGATAGACGGGGTAAAGGGTACGGAGCAAAGCTGTGTTTAAGGAATTTCCTGATTGACAATGCGGCCTCGATGGGACCACCCACTTTTGTCGCCTTCGTCGTTGTTCAGTAGCAAATTTGGCAATACAACAAAACGCTTTAACCTTTGACAGGCCGCACACATTTCAATTGTGGAAAATTGTGGCTCTCGGCCTTCGGGTCGGACATTAAAATTGATTACCCCAACAGTTTGGCTAATAGATGTTCTGGATCTTTGGGTTCCAAGAGCTTAAGTGTTTTCTTTTACATCCATACTGGAAAAAATATGGCTTCGATACAATCATTTTTGGTAAAGTTATACAACAAATCATACAAGGTAGTTCCGGGAAATTAAATCTAAGAATCTTCAGTTTTCTTCAGTGCATTTTCTTAGAATTTGCTGATATTTCATTTTCAACACATTGTTATCATTTAATCTGAATTGGAAGCTATTTAAACAAAAGTTGAACAGCCTTAGCTATTTTAAGGAAAATTAATATAAATGACAATTTCCGCATTGCCTTAAGCGGTTATCAATTGCCGCTGTGTGATACTAATCGTGTAATCCTTTTTAAATGATTGCACAAACAAACGGATATTAATGTCATAAACAATTCACACATCCAACTACACCACACTCACACACCATGTAATTCTGTTTATTGCTTGAGGTTATTTAATATTCAATTTTGGGCTCTCGTTTCTTGGCCATATCCTGGGCACCTCGTAAAATGCGAAAAAACTCATAAAAGCCATGGCAAGCATATTTTAATCTGCACATGGGTAAATGCTGCCAAAAACGAAAGAAAAAGTAGAAGCTGGCAACATGAATTTATGACGAGGATATTGTAAATAAAAAACTGTTTGCGTCATTTTTATTGAGTTCCGTTTAGTTGGATGTGTAAATTTGTGGCCGCAAATATTAAATATTTTTATAAATCTGCACACAAAAAAATCTAATCTTGCTTTTGTAATAGATGCATCATTATTTTGAAATAAATATTTACTAGGATGAATAAAAACTATTTAGTTTCCTATTCCCTGGAATTTGTTTGTGTTATTTTATTTGTATTTTGTTAATTTTTTTATGTAACGATATCCATCCGGGTTTAGAAAAATGCTGTCAAGGATTTCTATTGAATATGCAAATATATTTATTTACATCTTTCTTTTTTAAAATTTTTTTCAAACATTTTAATCAATACACTTGCCGAGCCAGTACTGCCAGAAATTAACGAACCCAAAAGTCATACAAAACATTTGTAAATTTTTATCTAAACCAAAAACGACCTACACGCCAATAAAAGAAAGATCATCGCGAGATTGTTTATATAACCATTAACTAACCATTAACCATTAACTATACATATTACCCACTGATTATCACCATGGCCCTGGAGCAGATTTGTGGAATGGATAAGCCAGAGTTTATGAAGGGATTTGGATCTCTTTCCTCCGAAAGGACAATCGAACAAATCAAACTGGCGTCGAGTAACTTGGATAATCCCTTCGCAATAATGGCGCCACCATTCGAAAGACCCCAGGAACGTCTTAATGAGCTGGCAGTCCAGAATAATTTAAGGATAGACTTTAATCATGGAACTACCACCCTAGGATTCATTTACAAAGGTGGCATTATTCTGTGCGTAGATTCGCGGGCCACGTCGGGAAAATTTATTGGATCGCAGACCATGCAGAAAGTGGTGCAGGTAAATAAATATATGCTGAGTACAATGGCCGGCGGTGCGGCGGATTGCACCTACTGGGATCGGGTTTTGGCCAGGGAGAGTAGACTCCACGAACTTAGGTATAAAGAGCGACTGTCCGTCCGATCTGCCGCCAGATTTATTTGCAACGTGGCTGCGGAATACAAAGGCACGGGTCTCTGCATGGGAATGATGTTGGCCGGTTGGTCCACTGAAGGACCCAGCTTGGTTTATGTGGATTCCGAGGGACTCCGCATCCATGGAAAGGTCTTCGCCGTAGGCAGTGGTGCCTCGTATGCACTGGGAATCCTGGATACTGACTATCACCACAATCTCACCGACAAGGAGGCCTACGATTTGGCTTTTCGTGCAGTGTATCATGCCACCATGAAGGATATTTTCTCGGGCGGTTTGGTTAGACTCTACCACATGAACCAGAGTTCCTGGAGAAATGTGGCCAACAAAGATTGCCAGGAGTTGCATGAGAAGTACTCAACAAGTGTAAATAATCGTGAAGTTCCGGGTGATGAACGCACACTTTAAGGCTTGTTAAATCTGGTTAAGAATTTAAATCATTACTATAAAGAATAAAATCAGTATATTTAAACACACCCCTTTGCATTTTTTATAATTAAGGTTGATTCCTATATAATTTGCTTACACGTTTTTAATGAGTGTGCCTTTTATTTGCCTACATTTTCACCCAATTTTTACACGCTTCACGAACTCTTATCTCAGCGAGCATTTCAAAGACCGTGAAAATGGCTAGTCGCTAATCATTTTGCGCTAAATTAAGTGACCTAATGGAATGCTCTGATTTTTTTTCCTATTTTTAATGCTGATACGGAAGGTTGGGTTTTCCCTTCCTACCCCCAAAAAAAGCATAAAATAAGTAAATTGCCTCCTTTTTGGACATTGGCACAACAATTAAGTTGGCATTTAAGTCGAATAAAGGACAGAAGCAGACAGCAAAAAGAGTTAGCAAAAGTCCCTGCATAAATCAATGGCAACAGCATTATTTGGGCATAGAAGGCTGGCGGAATGAAAAAGGGTCGAAATACTTAAATTTTTCTCGCCTCGTGTTTTTTGCCAAAGCACAGCAGCAATAACAAACAAGAAAGTGTGAAATAAAGCCAAATGGATATAAAAATTTGTATGTCCAACACGAGAAACCGGCAGCAGGAAAAAGTAAGGAAAAATGCAGGCACAGCAATAAAACGCGGCGAGTGCTTTTAATTTGAAATGCTGCGAGGATTGGACCAAAAGTCCCTGGAATACTCAGCTCTTTCCCATTCTCTCGACTTCCCTTTTAAGGATTGGGATTGGGATCGGGATCTGTGAAGGCGAGGGAGCACTTATAACGCTTGTGTGGATTACAAATCCCCACCGGTACAATAAACTGCTTTATTTGCAAAAGTTCGCAGCGTGAAAAGACGAAACTGAATAAAACAAATTTAAATAGTATGAAAGCATGTTGGTCGGTTGTACAATAAAATTGAAAAATAAAGTTATAGCAAAGTTTTGCCTGGCATCAAGAGTGAAAATTAAATATTAAAGTTGAGTTAGTTAATTAAAAACTAGAACACAAAAACTCACTGTCTAAGTTAGATATCCAAAATATCATTATTATAAAGAACAAATTCAGCTTTAAAGCGCATTGCAAGTTTTTTTTAAGTGCTGTGAAACAAACTCAGTAACCTAATTAGTACCTCACCTGCTGAAGAACATTTATCATTATCTTCTAGACTGCCGGGACTGAAAGTAGGAAGCCGTCTAAACTATAAACTCCGCTTCTCGTGTTTTATGTTCGCTGGCCGTAATAAATGTTGTCATTCAGCCGCTTTTTCCTCTTCCTAACCCGTTTTAAAACAAGCAATAAATGTCAGCAGCTCTGGCGAACCGGGCATAAACTACAATGGCCGGCGGATACTTTATTTAACACTTGCATAAACGGACATGACCGGAGATATCTCCCACACCCTCCGAATGTGGGGGTTATAAAAAGCGCAGCTTCCGAAAGAATGACTGGGAAACCGGAGAATGGAAGCACGTGTGCAACTCGTTATTTCTATGGGGTGCAATCAAAACGGGTCCTGGCCCAGCACTTAAGTTCTAAAAAAGATGGAACAATAGAAATTTGTGGCATGCTAAAAATGAGATAACCCAGAAAAAAGAGCATTGTGCATCCGAAGCATTTTGCTTGGCTGTTTTTTTTAATCTCTGTGGGAAAATGGGTTTTGAAACTTTTTTCTAAATTCAATTCCCTGTCTCTTCAATCTATTTTCCATCTCCGTTTCTAAATCTAATGACATTGGATTTACTCGTTTACTATACTGCAAATGTGTCTCCTAAATCTAAGCAAGCCGTCGACACTAAGCCGTTGGATAGAAAGACTCGTTGAGTGACTCGCTGACTGAAGTGCGAAAACCAAAGGGAAGCACTTGCAAAAAAAAAAAAGAGAAAAAAGGTTTACAGAAAAAAATCAAACCAAAATTAAATGGTTTTTATTAATTTTTCCCTAGAAGCATTAACACATTTTCTTACCCAAAATTTATGATATATTACTATATTTTTAACCAATATTTTTTGCAGTGGAGCAGCACAACCAATGCTTGCCACGTCCCCAAAGACCTAGCGCCTCCAGCTGGAGAAGCATAAAAAAAATATTATGTCAATAGATAAAAGTCAAAGTGGAGACGACAGGCAGCGAAGACAACATCGCGGATAACAAACAGCAAACATTGGCCAAATGTCGCGTGTTCAATTGTGCAGGCCCAGCCTCCTTTTGTGCCCCGCTTAGCACCACCCACTGTGGTGGCCCAACCCACCACCCACTGCCACCCACCACCACCTCCTGTCACTGTTTATTTTATTGATGTCGCTGACTGTGAGTTTGCCTTTGCAACTGGAGGCAACCATGACAAAGTCATCAGCGGGTGAAAATGTGAGGGAAAGTGGGTGAAAAGCGGATGGAAGAAGAGCTGGTTTTGGGGCGGGGCTGGGTGGGTCAAAGGGCAGTGGATCCCTTCTTGTTTTACGAGCAACGAAGCGGCCATAATTGTGCATTCACAGTCACAGTCATAGCCACATTCGCATTCACTTGCTTATTATAGGCACTGAGAAATGGCTGTGGCCTGGATGGATTTCCCTCCATCGCCTCCTTCTTCCTGGGATTTCCCGATTCCCTGGTAATTTGCAAGTGATTTATGGGACCTTATGCATAAAGCAAAGGAGGGACCCAAAAGCTGGCCTCCGGAGGCAACCATTTCCATTTGGCGATGGTTCTCCGCTGGAAACACTTGATTAGCCGCGATGATTGAACGGTTATTGGTAAATTGAAAGTTGTGTTCTTTGGTGCAAGCGAAGTACTTTTGGCGGATTATCCGGAAGGAATGGGATATAATTTAGGGGAATTTCTGACAGGTAAAATTATATGTATTAAGTTCGAGGTAGAATGGCACTTTTATTTTATGGAGAGTGGTCAAGGGTTCTTCCTGTTAGGAGATGCATAAAAAGAGAAATGTGAGAGTTCTATTACTTAAATACAATGCAGAAAATTATATACCTTATAAGCAATTACGAAAAACCTAAACATGACTAGTTTGTAATTATTCATTAAAAATAATATTTGCTTTTCTTTGTGTCCTTTTTAATTTCGAAATGACATCCGATTTTTGTGACACCATAAAAACTTCAATTAAATTTCTCGCCCGCTGGCCTACTTTGGATTTGATATGGCACACATAGAATTTTGTGCTTCCGTGATTTATTAGCCCCTGCCAACCGCAGGCGATGACGTCACTCAGCAGCACTCCGCAAACCGTAATTTGTGTTTCCCCAAAACATACAAAAAATAGCCCAACACCCAGATACACGGCCAAATGACAGCTGAAAAAAATATTATAAATATAAATATTTTTCGGAGCAGCAGCACATGCAATCTTGTGCAATTTTCACGCTGCAAGTGAACAAAGGGGAGCGGAAACTAACACAATCCCGAGTAGAAAACCCCCCTGGAAAGCCCATCCCCTTCCCCCGAAAAAACCAACCAGGCTGTCAGCGCAAACAGTTACAAACAGACATGAAGATTATGGTACGTAGGGGGATTTGCGGAGCAGTCGTTACAACAAGTTACATATAACTGCGAACTATATATAAATATATAAGATAGTCTTCCGGATCCTCACGTTTTTCGTTTGTTTGTCGGAGAGGCAAATTCGGTAATTTTGTTTCTAGCACACTCGAAATTATTTTCTCCCTTTAGCAAAAAAAGAAAAAACACAAAAGTTGTGAGTTTTGGCAAAACTTTTTTGTGGTGTAAGTTGAGAAATTTATTGAGCTTGCCGTTAAGCACTTAGAGTTGGGCTTTAGCAAACAATTTTGATATGGGAATCGAGCTTGAGTTTTATATTTTCTACATACTTAAATGTAAACAAATTTGTCACCCAGAGCTGTAAATCATCTTCTATTCCGTTTAAATTCGAATGGGGTGAAAAGCAGCTTTAGGGATTTTCGATGCTGATAAATTGAATTTCAATTGTAGCCGAGTGTTTAAATTTATCTGCTTTTCTCATTAGAGTTGTTGCACTTTTCAATTCAATATCTTAGGTCATTTCCTCCTAAGAACATAAATCCCGACAGCTTGAGTTTGTTTCCTTTTTTCTGACGCCGCCACGACTCAAAAGGCCTTAAGCTGTCAACTTTAGCATATTTCACGCTTTTTTTATTCATCCCACTTTGCTGATTTTCTTTTGTCTTTTTATTTGCTTTTCTTTGACTTCTTGCCACTGCTCTGGTTTTTGTTGTGAAACACTCCTCTAAGCTGCTGGAAAATTGCAAATTTATGTTAATTTTACGTAGACATTATTGTAAATGATGAGCACGGAGAGGAAATTAAATGAAATAAAATACAAAATTCGCAAACGAAGTTCTGGCAATGATACAACCAATCTTTTTTTTTATTTACATACCTATGGTTTTCTTTTTTGTGTTTTTTTTAAACTTTTCCAGAGGTCAGTTGTACGATTATTCAGAGACTCCTTTCGCAAATCACCGAAAGCCAAAAAGCTGCCATTGAAATCCACTTAAGAAAAGGACCTGCCACTGAGCCAAAGGAAATACAGACATGGTAATAGGATTTCCACTACATTTTATATATTTTCCCCAGTAGTTTATCTTGCTTCACACATTTCATTTGATTTCCCTGAATGGGTAAAAATAAACGCAAAAATTTGATAGATGTTCTGGCTGAGCAAAAGTGACGCATTTTTCTATTTTCCTTGGCAGCACTTTTTACACCATTTTTATGCGCTCGGAAAAGTTTGTTTGTCCGCCTGTCGGTTTGTTTATACATCACTATCGCCGCACCACCGCCTTCCTCTCCGCCTGTCTATTTATTTATTTTCCAAATAAATGCTAGCTTCCTGTTTCTTCCTTCGCTCTCGTTGAACTCTCAAGAATTGAATCGAATCGAATTGAATTAAATTGAACAAAGTTTGCTCGCCTCGAACTGCAGCGTTGAGATAAGGTTGCTCTGAAGACGACGAGGGAGTTCGGCATCGCATATAAATGCTCCACTTTTTGAGCGATGCATTGGGATTTTTCTCGATTT